AATCTGGGTGTCGGGCCTCAGCGGCACATCCAAGGCAACGAAAAAGCCGATGAACTAGATGGGCAAGGATTATCGGCAGCCTATCTTTGTCCAGAGCCAGTACTGGGAATACCCAAATGTATGGCCCGTGGTGCACTAAATTCTGTCACAATCGAGTTTCAAAATCACAATATTTTGAAAGTTCAAAATTTGCATGGGACTTCCTGTTTTCAACGCCGCACTATGGGGTATTTTACCTCAAAACCTGGCCAATAGTATTTTTATTTTTTTTTGCATTCTTTCGCCTTTTAAAACGTGAGAAAATAAAGAAATTGCTTCAAATTTGAATACATACTTAGCGTTTTTTTATTGACAAGATTAAGTCGAGACTCCCTCGAGTATTGTCATGTTATTGAGTGATTCCTCAGGTCATTTTATGGAGAAAAGTTCCCATAAACATAGGTCCAGAAATGCATTGTTTCTAAGATACAGGGTGTTGAAAGTGAAAAACACTACATTTACAAGGTTCGATTACATACTGAAAGTTTACATAAACATTCTGTTATAAATGAAATAATATGTCTATTATTGAACTAGCAGATTAATATTGTTCTAACTACAAAATAACAGTTATACTAAAGAGTAAGTGTGCGAACACAGTGCAAGCAGGTTTGCCGCTTACTGGTAGTCAGCGCCAATCTGGGTACCTATTCTTGACATCGTTCGCAACTTTGCGTATACGCATCACGTGTATTGTTATAAACAGGGTATCCCAGAAATAAGTGCAAGTATTTTAAAGGGTGGTAGATCTCGATAAAAGAAACATATTTTCTCTTGTTATTTTACTTTGAAAATTTCCAAAAAATGATTTTTTGCTAAAATTTTGAGAACCTTTTTTCATGTGCCTTCTCCTCATCGGAGGTTGGCGACCATCAATTGGAATTCCTCCCTGTCTTGGGCTAAACGGATAATTGCACTTGCCTCTCCTATATTAAACCACTGGCGCAAATTCCGCAACCAGGAAAACCGTTTACGCCCGATGCCTCGTCGTCCTTCAATCTTTCCCTCAACGATCAGCTGTAGGAAACTATATTTGTTATTTCGAAAAATATGACCAAAATATGCTGCTTTCCGTCGTTTTATTGTAGTCAATAGAGAACAACGGCATACCGTCGAGTCGGCCTAAAAACACGTAAACGTTTACGTACGCATGCGCATTTCTGATATTTCTTATTTTTTATACACGTAAAAGATTCTTTACGTCTACGTATACGTGTCAGCAGCAGCCAATTCGACCGTGTGCCGGCGTTCTCTAATAGTTCTTGGTCCTTACATATTCTTTCCAATACTTCGAGATTTGTTTGAGAACCACTGGATCTTTTCTGGATTTTCTTTCTTATAAATTTAATCTACTACCTATGTTGCCATATTATCAAGAAATTATTTTTTTAAATAAAAACTAAAAAAAATTGCAAAAAAATTGCAAAAATATTATCAAAAAATTCGAATTTTCAAAAAAAATATTTAGAAAAAACCTCATAGGCGTGTTTCTGGGGTTGAACTATACTACCAGTTAAGTTAAAATACTTGCACGTATTTCTGGGACACCCTGTATATGGTTACATAGTAGCGCCGCGCCGCGCCGCCTCGCGCTTATAACCTTGAAAAATTAAAGCGTGTTATCAAATCGGCTAGTTCACAGTGAAAGCAGGTAGGCGCCGTCAACTAGCGTTCATCGGCGTTCTCGCTTTTACCGGAACGAAAATTTATTTATTTCTGCTTTTGCAGGCGCCGACGGCGCACAGAGGGTATTAAGAACTAAAAGTTGGCCAAAATTATGTTTTATGATTTTTTGCTTTTTGCTAGTAATATTAATTATTAGAGGAGAGGGTGCTAATATGGAACCTCATTTTGTTTTTCCTACACAATATTTTTTCCTCTACTCTGAAACCCTTTCCATCCCGATCAAATAGGGCCATTCTGTGCAAAACCAAGCAACAAGAAAGTAATTTGTATATTATCGACGATATTTGAGTGAGGATGGGTGTTATAGAGTAAAGACTATTTTCTTTAAGAATCTATTTAAATCAATGTTTTTTTGGCCGTGGCAAATATTGGCAAGATTTTTGTACATATTCCAAAGCTGGAGACTTTAAGCATTGAACGGATGCTAATTTCCATGCGGAATATTGCCGAATAGTCTTACACCTTATAAAAATGCCTCTGATTTTTTAAATATAAAACATTATAAAGAAATAGAATAGAAGGAAACGTTTCAAAATAAAAATATGGCATAAAACAGGACTTGCCAGCTGGCTCTGTATCCATCATGACAGTTATTATAAACAATTTGCAAAAAAAGCACTACAAACAATTCCACTATTTTATAATCTTAGAAATATTCAGAATACACTCAAGATAATTCATACTTATAATTGAAATATATTATTTATTTGATAGTCAACTTACGACTTAAAAAAGCTAATAAACGTGCTTACATTTAGTATTTATAGATTTGTATTCAGTTAAGATAAAAAATGAAAATAAAAATAAAAAAATATCACTTTTGGCTAGGTTTATAGACCAAATACCCCTATGTGCGGCCCCGGCGCGGCGGGCGCGGCGTTTCAATATGGTTAGGTTAGGTTAGGTTAGTTGATCAGGTAAATTTCCTCTTAATCAGCTACTTCCGAACCCTGCTCGCATCTCCGAAAAAGCCATATAACAATACACGTGATGCATATACGCAAAGTTACGCATCACGTGTATTGTTATCTGGCTTTTTCGGAGATGCGAGATGTGAGCGATATTTGAAGATGCGAGTGATCAACAATAGGTGCTCAGAGACGGCGCTGGCTGCCGGAAAGCAGAAACCTGACTCCACTATGTTCGTACCCTAATACTCCATATTATACTCCAAACTAATATAAGATCAATAAAAGATCGCGATTAGTAAGAAAAACTAAGATAATTATTAAGTAAATTTTGTAAAAGCACAGCAATACACAGCCCGTCTATTCGAAGAACAATTTGTGATTGGCGCGGATTGTAACACGGGGGGACATTGACCCCTACCACCCACCCTCGAATACATACGTTTATACAAATAATTCCTGGTATCGGTTGGTTGATATCTTGAATTTAGATTTTTGAATATTGGCCAACTTTTTGGGTTAAATACCCCTTAGTGCGCCGGGTATATTCTAACCCAAATTCTGTTTATAATTTTTAAAACACCTGTTGGAAATTATTATAATTCATAATATCAGATGAGAAGTAAAGACCGAGAAGCAGACCTACTAAATGCATTTTGTCCATTTTTTAAGATTTTCAACCACAGGTGGTATTGCAAACTACATACACAGAGTTAAAATATGATGCCAGAAACGACACGACGCGACGCGTTAAATACATTTTATCCCATTCGAATTAAATGGCGAAAATACCTTAAACCAATATTGCCTTAGACTTTATATGTGCTTTATGTCCATTGGCAGTAGACAAACAAACAAAAATATGTCCTTTGCTGTGGATATACTGCTGTTTGTTTGTCATTGCCAGATAAAGATTTTTTTGTATTGCAACTTCTATTTTTTAAATAATACTAGGTACTTAACATAATGAATGGAACTACGACTGGGAATCATGTAGTTGAGGATACGGACCGTGGTAGCAGGAAAATAAAGCGAAATTTCACGTCTAAAGGACAGTCAACAGCTTTTTTCAATTTTTTCAGATATCATCAAAACTAGATTTTTTACATGTAGGTGTACTATTTTTATGATTTTTTATCCATTTTTCAAGCACACTTCGGCAAGTTTCTTGCAAAAAGCATGGCAGTTTTTCTTTGTTTACCAAAATTCGAAAACTTGGACAAAATGCATCTATAGAAAGTCCGCTCCTCCATATACTTTTTGTCGAGCATTTTATTTAGAAATCGTATTATTCTCCACTCTTTGGTTATAGACCTGTTATTAAACTGAATTGCATAGAAAATATAAATTTGACACACTAACTAAAAAAGCCCTATAAATTGGATTAGCCCTCGTATCGCTTTGTGTAACTGACATTAGACACCTGTATTATACAGATAAATTTCACATACCTAAATATTTATTACCAAATGGGTAAAATTACTACTTATTTGCTACCTTTCACAAAAAATTAACTTGGCAATTATTAAGGAATTTATGCGCTAGCTGCAAAAATACCACCAAATAGATTTTAATCAAAATTTGACTACCTAAAACTAGGTTTTGTTCAAGTTGAGTTTAATAGTAAATTTTTAAAACATGCACTAATTTGTTGAAAATGTCAATTAATAAAATGTTATATTGTTTTCCTGTCAATATTAGTCATTAAATAAAAAAGATACTAAATTTAAATAACAAAATACCTTCTAACATTTATGTAAATATGAGTAGAATGATTTCATAAATGAGTAATTTAGAATCTGATAAAGATTACTCAACTGTAATAACCCAATGAATAAGTACCTGCTATAGTATAAAAACCTAATAGAAAAAATATGTTATAACATACAAAAAACAGATAACACTGATATCACTTCATTTTACCTACATAAGCCTCAAATAACAAGTAATATTTATAGAAAATTCGGTCAACGAAACTCAATTACACAAGTACTTAGGAATATTTATATGTATAAGATACCGTTTCAAGAATCATTAGCATTCAAAAGAAGTACCTATTCAAAATCAACAATACACAATGTCCATGGCACGATTTGTTTTGATCATTTTGGTGTAGGTTTAAAAGTGCATTTTTGTAAATAACAAACTTATTAATAGGACAGACAAAATAAATACTTTGAATTGACCAAAAACAAATCGTGGTACTGTACTTCAAAATAACACTAAGTTAATATTTTTTTATATAACATATTCTTTGAACAACTATTGCATAGGATTAGATATTGGCATGGATCTTAATGTGATACAACTTAATATGTTAGCTAACTATTGTGGTTTGTTTTGAAAAAATATTGTACACCTGCCTACCTCAGCTGTAAGTTTTCCATAAAATTGTCCAAGTCGATTTTGTCCATGAGGACAAAATCTCCCACACCAACTTCTCTAGTTGTTGCCATTGTTTAGTTAAAAATCACTACCGGTCTAATAAATAGTTTTTTGCATATTTTCAAGTTCTCCTTCGAAAAGCCGCGCGTATGAACTAACCGCACTTTACGGCGAGTAGTACCGTTTCCCACGAAAGTGAACCACCAACGAATATTTTTCGTGAGTAGAATCGGGTTTTTCTTTGACAGGTTAAGTACAGTGTTGCCATATAAACATAAGCCTTTTAATTCTGTAACATCAAAAACGGATTATCAATGATTAAACTGTTTTAATGTAACTAGTTGCAAACCAGGAACTAAATTAAATTGAAAATAACGAAAAGAAGCAACTGTATATTATAAAATTATTAGAAAATCACAGAAAGATATATTTAAAAGTACCAAAATAAAACTTGGCAATATTGCCCGTGATTCAAAGAGAATATGATACTAGAACAGACGGCCGCCGCAGATAAGTATAATTTGTTCCCTATAAAAAATCAAAAAGCCTATAACCGTTTCTACCGGGGGCGTCTCAAAAGTATAACATTTTAAATTATAACATTTTTAATTTTTAACTATAACATTTTTAATTTTTCAGGTTAAAAAAACGATATTTGGTATGTTAGGATATGACATAAATTAGGATTGATCGACCGTATTCAATTCTTTTCAGTCACTTCATGTTTCACCGGAAATTACTACAACATTTGATTTTTAAATGACACCGTTGATATTTTTTACTTCGTTTGATAGAAAAAGTCATTCTGAATAGAATGACATAGCATACGTTAACTTTTAACATTTTCAATTAAAAGCAAAGATACCAAGTGTGTGGTACCAAATTATTATAGTAAATAATGCTTTTTCCGATTATGCTAATGAGCCACCCTTCCATTTGGAAAAATATAAGATATGATTAAAAATAAGATTTGGACATCTCTTACCCGGCCAGGACAAGATACGAAGAAAATTAGACGATCAAATCTATTTTTTCAAAGCTCCATGATTAAATATTAGTGTTTTTAACATAGCCATGGCTCTTGTTTATATATTCTTTAAGTTGCTCAACCGGCTAGACAAATTGTGCTGCTTGTGAAGGGTACACAAACGCATTTCAAATACATCTGAAAGTCAACCTTAAAGGTCGTTTAAGGTCTCACAACAAGGTTCTTTCTGGAATCACTCAAGGAGGTTTGAAAGCCACATATGTCAAGGTCAAGCGAACTGCGCATGTGGAGGAGCCCAATCGGCTAATATCTCCTACTCATCTTTAACAGTGATCGGCTGATTAAGAAATTCAAACGAAACTTTTATTTTATTGTAGATTGTGCATTATTTTTGCCTGTTATTTTAAAAATTCTAAACCGTATTAACAAAGAAATTATTATTTTGATATGTTGGTACATTTTTTATAATTTATGATAATGCTAATTACTGTTAATTAATATTTAAAAAAAGTTACATACCTACTTTAATTTGATTTAATGCAGTGCATAAAAGAATCATTTCATTCTTAGATTATTTTATTCTAAATTGAGTGTTTTACGAATTTTACTATATTTTTTTTGAAAACATAAAACTTTTTACATTCTTCATTAAATGTTCAAAAAATTGCAACTTGCTTCAATATTATTTGACATTAAAATAAATATATTGTACTTAATACACCATTTAAATCTTTATTACACCAATTAAATCTTTATTAATGTAAAATATAGCCGAGTTTTAAAATCAAGTTTGCTTTAACTTTGTATGTGTGAAGAAATAAAAAATAAAAATTTCATTATTTAACTCACACACAAATCCCGTTAAACCATAAAACTTTCTAAAAGCAGGATACATGTCTAACTGAAATAATTCAAGTACATTTTCATTAAAAAAAATGTATCAGGAAAATAATTTAATTAGATAATGCAAGATTTATTTTTTATTCTGTTTCATATGGTCTTCAGTATTTTCAATACACAGGGTCTCTTATCTCTAGTATATAGTGCGACGTTCTCTATGGGTTTTTCGAAAACTACTGGAGATAAAGAGTCGGTTAAATGGGGAAAGAATTGCAGTTTTGTGAGGTCACAAATATGCGCCTTTCAGATTTTTGAAACAGTTCATGGATTACTAGATATTTCGAAAAAAAAACTTTGGCTATTTTAAAAATTGTCCTTAATTCCATTATAGTCTGTTTTAATCAAAAAGTTTTCAGATAACAGTTGTAGATAATCACATCCTTAATGAGATTGCGTCCTCTGTTTTTTCTAAAGCCTGTCATTTTTGACATATGAGACAAACATGTTTTTTTTTTAAATGGAAACCATAGTTGGCCATGAGGGTTCGGAAGTAGTTAATTAAGACGTAATTTACCTGATTAACTACGTGTAGTTTTTCTTCAAAAACTACGTCTTTTCCCGTTCATTAACTACAAGAAAACTACGTTAATAAACTATGTATTGATATTATGAATAATTTTCCTTTGTATGAGGTGTTATAGAGATAATATGATGTAAATATTATATTTAAAGCCATATTTCTTCTGTTTTCTTAAATTCATTATGTGTTTTTAAAGCTTCAACTTATTATAACCTGACCTCAAACCTTTGATATTTGACATAGGTTACATAAACTACACCCTCTACATAAACTACATTAACTACATGTAATGTAGTTTATGTAGTTTTTAAAAGTAACATGTAGTTTTCAGAACCCTGTATGGCCATGACATCATAAAAAGCACCATTTTTTAAGCTTTATAGCGATATAAGCTATAATATGTTTTTTTTCGAAAAAATTATTGAGTTATAGTATAGTCAATTCTTATAATTTTAAAACAATTTTACTTAGTTAGCCATGGAAACAAGTTCAATCGTCGTTGCCTTCAGAAATGCAAAACTCTCCAATTCAAAATTGTAAATTAAAATAAACAAAAATTGTAAATATGAATTTTTTAAATGAAGAAAAGCGTGTAGGATTATTGGTTCAACTTTTCATGACCATACATTTTCCAGGATACGTTGACCGTTGAACGCTATTTACGTTTTTTAGAGAACGGTTTTCAAGACATGTTAGAAAAGTTAAATTTAGATAGTCGCGCATCAATAGGGTGGTTCCAACATGACTTTCATTATGACATCTCCCCCCCCCCCATAATGAAAGAAATGTTAAAAATTATTTATATCACAATTATGCAAAGGAAAATAGAGGCGGTACGGGAGAACATTTCTAAAATAACTTAAGCGTATGGGGTAGTGATATTATGAAGTTTTAGTTTGCGTAATATAAATCGTAAAGAACCGTTTAATAACATATTCTATGTTTTTATGTTATAAATCATAACAGTGTAAAAATACCATGCTAACTAAGTGAAATTAGCCAAGAAAGAAAAAAATTGGCTATAACTATAACTCTGTATCTAACTGTAATTTTTCGAAAAAAACATATATACCTATATCGCTGAAAAGCTTAAAAATGGCAATTTTTATGAAGTCATGGCCAACTATGGTCAAAAATTACAGGCTTTAGAAAAAATCAGAAAACACAAACTCATTAGGTATGTGATTATCTACAACTTTTATCTGAAAACTTTTTGCCTAAAATAGATTATAATGGAATTAGGGACAAGTTTTAAAATAACCAAAATTTGTTTTTTTTTCGAAATATCTAGTAGGCGATAAACTTTTTCAAAAATCCGAAAGGCGCATATTTATGACCCCACAAAACTGCAATTCTTTCCCCATTAACCGACTCTCTATCTCCAGTAGTTTTCGAGATACCCATAGAGAACATCGTAGGAAACTCACACTGTATAGTATTTTGAAACTAACTATTATTATTATTTGACTAGTTTAATTTGATTAATAAGACTAGATTAATTTAATTTCAAATAAATTTGATCATATTTTTTTTCGTATATTCTGCTACCAGAAAACCAAGATTATATGATAACGCACTTTTCAACGAAGTTGAAGGCAGATATAGTGTATCTATCACAATACTTAATAGAAGTGCTACAATTATTTCAAGAAAAACAAAAAGAAGAAATACCCAATTACCCCTTCACCTACTACTCAACTACAAAATAAACGAATATAATATCTTAAAAACACTACACAGCTACTTATTCTTGTATTCTACACTGAACAAATTATCAAACTTACTAATTTATCAAACAAAAAGAAAAAATAACAAAATTATCCCTTCACCTACTACTTAACTACAAAATAAACTATAAAAACACTACTTAACTATTTTTGGTAGACTACACTAACATGCTACACTAAACACTATAAAATTAAACTTAATAAATTAATCTAATTTTACACTACAACTACAAAGAAAAAAGAAATAAGAACATTTTCTAAAACTAGAAGAAACAGAACTTCCATACGTGCAACCAGGATAATAGGTAAAGGGGGCAAAGAATATAAAATACTTTAAAATGTGCATTCAGAAAGAAAAAATATCTCGAAAATTATCTAAACAAACATTTTTATTTCTTATCAGTGAGAAACATCGGCCTTGTCGGTATTGAAGAATTTGTCGGGTATTTACAATGGTCGAATTGTATAATTGCCGGCTTTTTTAGCATATCTAATAGACAAAAAGTATCTGGTCGATTAGTAACCAATTGGCACACTCCGAAAATTATCGATTTTTATTTTCTCTGTTTCTATTGGTAGCTTCAAAATTCAGAGTAACAAAAAATATTTTTCTGTTGGGAAACCGTTCCTGCCATCTAGTAGTCTTAGTACATAAACGTCTTAGGTTGATCTACTTTAAACATATATATATATATACAAGGCCATGGCACTCTAGATTGAAGTTTAAAATACGATTTTTTTAAGCGAGAATATCAAAAGTTGACATATGATATCTCATTCTGAATAGAAATTCAGAATGTCATTTTCTATCGAATAAAGTGAAAAAAAATATAGAGGGTGCAATTTAAAAATCAAAAGTTTTAGTCATTTCCCGTGACACAGGAAGCGACCAAAAACAATTATTGAATACGTCAATCTATGCTAATTTATGGCATAATATACTAAACATACCAAGTCTCTTCTTTTGTCTGAAAAAATAAAAAGGCTATAGTGGTAGGCCATTTTGGAGACGCACCTGGTATATCTTATTTATGTTTTAAAAAACAAAAACTATTAAAATTAAATAGCAAAATAAAATATTGTGTCTAATATTTGTTTGATATAGATATATTTGTTATTTAAAAATGGTAAATAACATAGAGTTAAAAGTTAGAACTAAAAGATAGCATATTATTTGGAATGCAGTCTACCCAGTATTTACGTTTGCCGTGGATTAGTTCATATTTCTTTATTTACATTTGAATCTGACGGGTGACGTCAATGACGTCATCAGTAAAATCAGAAGGTAAGTCAATATTTTTATATTCTGTTAGAACTCAATTTTTCTCTGGTTTTTAAATTAAATTTACCGTGCGAAAAAGCCAAGAAAGAAAAAATCGCGATGTTTCAAAATCGGTTGAGTGAAAAGTTTGTCAAAAATGGTGTAAATGCAACTCCTAAAAGTAGAAAATATATACCAGAAGAATCGTGGACTAATGAAAGAAGATGGGCTGTTATTGGGCTATTTTTTTCGTTGCTGGTGGTTTTTGGGAAACTCTATTATGGAAACTGTAAGTTTATTTCCGATTTAATGTATTTATTAGAACAGGTACATCAGAAAAGCTTTTAGAGGTTAGAGATTACGCCATCCGTCAAAGATATGGCGAAAAAAGGTAAAGCAAATAGTAATTTAAGTTTTTTGCTTGATATTTTCAGATGAAGCCATCCAGAATATTATCCTAGAGCGAAAACTAGTGTCCTATACTGTTATAACCGAGAATGGACAAGTTATGTTTACAAATTCCTGGAAAACAGCAGTAAGATTTAGCAAATTTTGGCTACCCATTTTATGTGGCTTTTTAACTACGTACTTTACATGGATGTGTGTTTATTTGGATTCAAGTGTACCAGGCGTAAATCCGCCCAGTCCATTATCGCCTCAGAAAATAAGGTTTGTTTTATAAAGACTATTTTCTAAATTACAAATACAAAATTTATGTTGTTTTAGAATTCAGTCGGGTCACACTTTTCATCTTAATTATGTCTTTGCTGTGTTACTCGGCTTACTAGTTACATCTTTTATGTATCTAAAAGGTGTCTCAATACAGTATTAAGTGCAATGGAAATAGTATAGACTTTTAACTCATTTACATAAGCAGCTTTATAATTTATTAAATTGCATCTCATTTTATATTTTTATTATATTATATATTTAAACGAATAGTCAATTTTTGCAATATTTTGGTGGTATATTTTACTTCCAATTCTTTTTGTAACAAAGTTACAATTATGTAGATAATTATTTTGGTAGCTTATAATTTAATCAGACTATTAAAATTGTATACATAATTGCTAGAATTATACTTAAGCATCACTTATTCAATTGATACAAGCATAATTGTAATTTATAGTAGATTATTATAGTTATATATTTTTCAAATAAATATTTATAAACGAACATCCCAGTGAACAACCTTTTTTTAAATGTCCCATTACAGATCATATTCTTGGAACACCTATTTACAAGACAATAATTATAAACATTATTTTAGATTGTGCAATATTGAAGTATTTAATTTATCTTAGCTTAGTCCACAGTTAGTAAGTGTGTGTTTTCCAAGAGAAACACTTGTGATATTCTTATATTCAAAGATAAACTAGGAATTTATACATTCTATTTTGTTGTAGTAAATTAAAGCACCATGTCGAAACGGGAAATCATTAATGAAGTTGTATTTAATGAAACATTTTACCAAGCATTTGATGAAAATGTAAAGCCAGTCCTTTTAGATGGTATATTAGAGAAAGTCACTGATACTAAAGGTATGTACAAAAAATTCAATTGTAATTTACAAAAATACAGGGTGGCGCACCTCGTTCGCCTCGGTTGATTATACGAAAACGGAAAGATGTAGAAACAAAATATTTGATGGGTATATGTGGGGAGGCAATGTGCACAATTTAAAATTATTTTGAAATATACATGGTGTTTCAAAACTAAGATCCATACCAAAGTTATATTTTTTCTTATGGAACACCCGGTATTTTATTTCATTTTTGGATTCTTGGGCCCAAAAAAAAGGCATTAGGGTTAAATATATTTAAAATTTTTGGTTTTTGAGATATTAAAAGACATTTAAATTTGCATGCTGCAATAGAATAGATTATTAACACCCTGTACATTACTTTTCAGAATTAACTCTTGTGCAGAGTTTAAAGGTAGAGAAATAAACTTTACAGAAAAATGTTATTGCTTCCTTAAATTTATACAGGAGTACCAAAATTTGCTGATCTATTTTACTAATTTATTTTACATAAAAACTTCGTTATTTCAAATACAACACCCTGTATTTTTTAAATAAATCGAAGCAGATTCAAATGCTCTTTCAAACTATATTAGGGTTTCCTAATATACTACCTATACTTATCTAGCTCAGATTTTGAATAAAGAGCAATTTTTTCAATAAAATGGCAACCAAGAGGGCTAGTGCCGTCATAGCAAGTTTCTAGTGACAGTAGCTATTTTCAAAATCGAAATTAGTTTATGGACTTATTTAAATTTATACCAGTTTACTTTTATTTAATTTACCTACAATAGTTTAATAAATAATATCGTATGATGGAATAAAAACGGCGTCAGCGATGGCTATGAAATGAAGATCGCTGTCATTTTATATGTAAATTTAAATGGGAAATGTTATCGATTGTCATTTCATAGCCATCGCTGACGCCGTTTTTATTCGATTACGGTATTTATTATTCTATCAAGAAAAACGAAGAAGTAGTTCTTTGATTTATTTTACGATGACTTGTAGATATATGGATTTTCTATAAAAGAGCCAATTACGGCAAATTCATATTCTTCACTTCCAACGACAGGTTTCTGCCTAATAGGTTTTTTATAAACCACACTACCAGCTCGGCGAAATAGGACAAGTAGTTTTTCAAAGGAACGCTTATCAGGAAGATTCCTATTTGGATTTATCTTTGAGCATAAGCCCTTGTGGGCAAGAAGCAATTTTCCTCACAAAATAAAATTACTAGTAACATATATATTTGTTCCGCCAGCAGATTATAAACAAGAATGTCCATAAACTAACGTCGACTTTGAAAATAGTTACTGTCACTAAAAAATTGCCATGGCGACACGAATCATTTTGATTGCAATTTTATTCAAAGAATATACCTAGCTAGAAAAAGAATAGACTCTGCCATACTGAAAAAGGGTCCTACAGAAGTGGCGCCATCTATTGAGTAGGGATTGTTTTAAATGGATCGAAGCGCGGGCTTTTTAAATGAGCGTATTTATTGAATTTTACTCTAAAATATATAATTACATTTGATTATTAAATCTTATTTTTTACACAAATTCAACAAACTAATAACAAGTATCGTTGTGATGTGTAAAAAATAAGATTTAACAGTATAATTTATACAATTATTAAATAGAATTAAAGCCAAACATGTGAAATATTATTTATTATTTAAAGTTTTTATTTATAAGTCAAATATTTTTCGTCATACTATATTGTTATATTATTATAACATAAGCAAAATCAGAATGGAAAAGATACATATAACGTCCGCCGGACGTTATCATAACGGCCGGCGGCCGTTAAGTTTCTAAGGTAATCGTAACGTCTGTCACCTGCAACAATGACTATTTATTGTCAGTTGGACTTTTCAAAAATTGGGAAAATAGACCATAGCGAGATGTCGCGAGAAATTCCGTTGGAAATACAGGAGGAAGCGGCTGCGGCTACTCAAAATTTACTTCCGACTATAACCAGAGAGAGATATCAGCAGGAATATGACAATTTTTGAAGTGGCGGCAGGATAGAAGTATAAACAGCGTAAATGAAGCGGTATTGCTGGCTTATGCTAAAAGAATGTCTGAAATGTATTCTCCTACATCACTGTGGACAAAGATATCCATGCTGAAGCTTGCGTTGAGAGTATATGAAAACATCGACATATCAAGGTAAAAGCCATTATATTCTTCGATATTTAATCATACTCATCTAAATTATATTTGTTCATAGATTTGGTAAACTGTTCATGTTTCTGAGGCGCAAAAACGAAGGTTATTCACCAAAAAAGCCAAAGTTCTGTCGGAGAATGACATAAATAATTTTCTACTGGATGCCGATGATTACACCTGGTTACTCGAAAAAATTGTATTGGTGCTTGGTATTCTTGGAGCTTGTAGGCGCAGCGAGCTTTGGTCACTCACAGTTGATGATTTCGAAGATTCGGAGAAAAATATTCTTGTCTCATTAAGAAATACTAAAATAAGAAAGATAGGAAATTTCTTATTCCAAAACGGGCCTTCCGTTTGATGCCTATGGTTTATACAAAAAATACATCAACCTGCGTCCTCGTAACTTTGACAATCCAAAATTTTTCATTGGTTACAAGAAAGGCAAGTGTGTTAAACAAATCGTCGGTATACATACCATCGGGAGCGTACCGCAGAAAATTGCAAAATTTTTGAACTTGGAGAATCCAGAACGTTATACAGGGCATTCATTTCGTAGATCATCAGCAACCATGCTCGCCGAAAATGGTGGTGATTTACTATCGCTAAAGGAGCTAGGAGGATGGGAGTCTTCAACAGTGGCAGAAACTTACATAGAAAAATCAGTTTTCAAAAGAATGAAAATAACAAATCAACTTTTTCATGATAGCTCCAAAAAATAATGTGTCTTTAGTGGATACAAATATTTGCCATTCTTCAGTAGCATCATCTTCTTCTATAAAATCTGTAAATCCCTGGGAAGGATTACAGATTTCTAAGAACAACAAGTGCACTTTTAATTTCCATGTTCATTATCATGAAAAATGAATTTTAGTATAAGACATTATGTATTTTTTATCCTTACTTGTAAATATTATACTCCTTATTGTTCAATAAAATTTGTTATTAAATAGTAGTGTTTATTGCTCTAAAAAATCTGCAGTATGACGAAAAATCTAGAACGCAACACGGCCGATAACAAATAACGGCCTTGGCTGCTTATGATCCTCGGCTATCGCCTCGGATCACAAACTTCAGCCCGGCCGTTATTTGTTGTTTATCGGCCTTATTACGTTAATAACTATAACGTCGTTTATTATAATAAAACAAGACCAACGTAATACGCCCAAAGTTTTGTAAATGAAGTAAATATAAATAGGTACTTAAATTATGCAAAAATAAAAGACTTACATTATATTTTTAGGGCCACAAACAAAAGGAATTGTCTAATTAAAACACATATAACAAATTATAGTTTGAAAAACATTTTGATAATCATTTATTTGATAATATTATGATTGGCGCTATGACAACGACAATATTTTTTGAGAATTTGACAATAATATGACAATGGCCGTTGGAAACTATGGAAACTACAAAAAAATTCTGATTTAACGCCATCTGGCAATAACTAGTAGCAACTTCTTAACCTAAAAATTAATTGCACTACCACCTAGTGGCTAGGGCTTGAACTACTTTATTTGAGATTTCCGTGGAAACGGTGGAACCGCTGTTGCTATTTCACTTTCCCGCCCCTGATTTTATTTAAAAATCGTTTTTTATGCAAAATCTGAGCTAGATAGGTATAGGAAACTCTAATATACACTTGCGTGCATAGAAATCGGCCCAAGACAAACTTTTGAAGTTAACTATATATTTTTTAGAATATATTTGTCAGATTAAGAAAAAGTATATACTGTTTGAAAGACAGTTTTATATTCTTTGAAAAGAGTTTAGAGATATTAATTTGTATTTCGGTTTCTTTGGATTAAAATTATTAAATTAATGCATGAAACAAATTATCGTTTTTTATTACTAAGATGTATGCCATTATATATTTATTTATTTATTGACAATTAACTAAAATAAATTTTCAATAATGCGTATAACCCCCTTTTGCTCTTACAACATCTCTCATACAGTTTGGCATAGATTAAATCAAGTTTGATATTGTTGCTTGCGGTATGTTAAGCCACTCTTCTTATACAGCAACAAGGAGTTCTGGGATAGAGGTTGGGGCTCTTTGTCTAGCACAAATCCTTCATTTTAGCTCATCCCATAAATGTTCTATCGTGTTTGAGTCTGGACTGCATGCTGACCATTCCATAACCCGAAAACCGACTTCTGAAATGTAATCGTGTACGATTCTTGATGTGTCTGCTCGCGCATTGTCATGCATAAAAGTGAATTCGCTCCCAATCTAGTCGACGTAAGGTACCACATGAACTGCTAAAATCTCCTCAATATACGTAGCACCAGTTAAACCTCCTCTCCCGTACCCACGGTCGTCCCAACGGATAAAAACTGGGTCGGCTCGCGCAGTCATAGAAATTGTACCCCAGATCATGCAGAAACCACCTCCATAAGCAAATCCGCTCCTCAATGCAGCATTCTGCGAATCGTTCACCTGGCCTCTGGAACACTTTTCTTCTTCGGTCGCTACCATAGAGGCATATCCTGGTCTCACCTGAGAATAAAACACATTCCCATTGTTCTAGTGTTCAATTCAGATGTTCCGTGCAAAAGGCAGTCGTGTTTGACGATCAGCTGGGGTAAGTTTTGGACCAATTGCGGGTATTTTGGGGGTCATGTTACTTTCCTTCAATCTTCGTCTTACTGTCCTCTGACTAACAGTCACTCCTCGTGTTTCACGGAGCTGTTGTTGCACCTGAATATCATTTAGATGCCGATTTCTTAATATTTTTGACACAATAAAGCGGTCATCACGATCCGTTGTATATCTCTTTCTACCAGTTCCAGGTCGCCTACGAAAGGATCGAGTCTCCTCTTATCGTTCACACACTCTTCGAACCGCTCCGCGTGTCATATGCAATTGCCGAGCTGCGGCTCTCTGTTTAAGAAGTCCATTTTCGATTAAAGCGATTACTTTGAAACACTAATCAAACAATGAAACACAACAAATCAAACAATAAAAGAACAATGTGCAAATTTTGATTACAAAGTAACAGTAAATTGCAGTATTTGATAAGTTTTTTATTCTTATTGTCACCATATTGTCACCACAACACAAATGCTTTTCATTTGTTTACCCGTTGCTACGCATAAAAACGATAAGTACTTTGGATAAATTTATACTCATATTAAAGCATGTTAAATTGTCTTTGAAACAGCTCATATTTTTTTCTTGGTCTGATAAATAGATTCTAAAAGACACAGTTAAAGTCAAAAGTTTACAGTGGGCCGATTTCTATGCACGCAAGTTTAGTTTGAAAGAGCATTTGAATCTGCTTCGATTTATTGTAAAAAATACAGGATGTTGTGACAACTCAACGTCGTGACACCACATGCGACATGACAGGCGAGGGGAAAAGTGGTAAGGTCAGCTTACGGCTTAGAAAAAATTGTCTAATTTAAGTGAAATTTGGTATGTCGATAGATTGGACCAAAGCCAATTTGACCGTGTACGACACGTGTCACTGTTACAGTTAGTTATGACGTAAGAAACGGCAAAAGTTGATGTCCGATCGCGAACTGTGAGCGACGGTGCACACGGTTCCCACTCTGCAAAGTTGGATACAACGTTTCTTTTACATCTTCTTCAGGGTGGGACTAAGGATTTGATATTGAAGGAAAATGTGGGTCGATTTCTGCATAATTGGGGACGGGCTAGAGGATGACGCTGTCGACGTTTCGAACCGATGCCTCTAAATGGACGAAATCATCATCATTTTTCTTAATTGTGTGTCGATTGGAACCAAACTGGGCACGGGGATAGAGGTACCCGAATGGAGTCCCCAGACAGACAGACGGTCATTTTAATACAAATTTTGTGAAAGTGAATCAAATTATTTATTAATTTTTAGTTTATTACTTTTTCAACATTTCAAACTACACTTTCTCAAACATGTCCTTCAAGTCCTTCAATTTAATAATTAATATTAGTGATGGGTTGTTATTTAACTATATGGTATTTTATAACAATTATTTAGAAATAATATAACGCAACCGTTACTACTTCTAAAAAATAACAGATATAAAATAACGACACGTACAGATCGACAGCTCGTGAAACAAAGTCTGCGCTCTGCACCGCCACGAAATTCTATGCGGCTCGAAGCAATTCCAAAAAACAACTAGTATGGATGGAAAACATGTTATTTCGACAACCATCTATACAGGCGGCGAGATACAGACAACAGATATATAAAAGAAGCAGCTTTTTTGAAACACTTGCGGGCATAACGCCTGGCGGTCAAGATAACAGGAGTGGGAAAGTAACGCTGCTGCATCGGTCGATTGTCGATGGAGGCAACGGGTTGGAGAATAACGTATAGAAAATAAGCAGTCAATTTTGATACGTTGGTTTTTAACCTGTTACGAGCATAACAGGCGGCGGTCGAGATAATCGGAGTAGGAAAGTAACGCTACTGCATCGGTCGATTGTCGATGGAGGTTCGAAACAGGTTGGAGAATAACGCATCAGTTGTTTTAGATACATCGCTTTTCAACCTGTTACAAGCATCACAGGCGGAGGTCGAGATATTATGGCGCTGTATGTTTCAGTACTTAGTTATTAAGTTTCAGTTAGTTAGTTATTTTTATTAATATCTTTAAATATATACTTTAATTATTTTTGCTAAATATTAAAACTCTTCAAAGACAATTTTAGTATATTTACTTGAAGAAATTGTGAACGGTGCTTAGAAATTTAGCGATTAATTTATTTATTATAATAATGAGAAGTACTTAATAAAAAATGGAAATAACAATTTAATTAATTATTTAGTAGTATATATATTTTTCCAAAGAAATGCTTTAGAAAAAAAGTTTTGAGTTTTTCTAAATTTTCCTAGTCTTAAATTATTACAATACAGTAGTTGCAAAGCAATAGTTTTGTATTTTCACCACTGTCTAAGACTATTACTGTTATAGATGGTGATAAGAATAAAAACTATGTTAAGAAAAGACTGTTTAAAACGTAGCAAACACATTGAGTATAATATTAATTTTAAATAATGTATATTCGTTGGTTTTGCTGCGATTTAAAGCTCTTCAAAAAACAAATTTACTATTCAGAGATACTGATACAACAAACGGTAGATACTAAAAATACACTAAATAAAGATATTACTTTTCAACTACTAAAACAAGTAAAGGCTAAATTATACATACTTCAAATTATTTGGAATCGCACCAAGAAAAATTAATCTCTTGAAATACTATAATTAGATATTACCCTTGTTTATACAGTATGTCCCCGGATTGTCTTTATAAGAGGAAATAAAGAAACCTGTTATTTTTAAGCTGTTATTTTAAGCTACTTTTTATAAATAACTATAACAGTTTCAACTGTTATCTAAATATAACAGTTTTGCCCACCACTAATTAATATGTTAGTAAGAAGTTTCACCTCAAATATGCATACATAGTGCACTCACAATATTTTTTTAATTTTAAATTTTAGATGATTTGGAAAAGAAACAAACAAACTGGAGCAGTAAGAATAATTTGTCTTGTTCTTATTGTCAAACAGATTTTTCAAATGTGCAACAACAAAGAGAACACTATCGATTAGATTGGCATAGGTATAATCTAAAGCAATCAATTCAGTCAAGAGCTCCAGTTTCTGAAGAAGAATTTTTGAATAAAACAGAAAACGGTGAGTAGACTTTACTATAATTTTAAACAGAACTTTAAAGGAATTTTTTAGATGATGTGTCAAGTATATCTGGATCAGACACTGAAGAAGAGGACAGTTTAGATACGTATGCTACTGCTCAAGGAAAAATATTCTTGCAAAATAAAAAGGGACAGGTTTTTTCACTTTATCGAGGACTGTTTCTTGATAAAAAGGTGTTTACTTTTTTTTATCTAATCAGGTTTAGTCAAATTATATTTTTTGTGGAAAGTTTTGGGGTAGTTCTGATTTATTCTGTTCTTTATGTTTTTTGGGGCGCTGAATCCTTAAGGTACATTTAGGCTGAGAGCGTCGAGCGTCGCGTCGCGTTTGCGACGCGTCCGCCCCATTGAACTCGAACCCCGACGCTCATCGGACGCTAGCGCAACGCCAAACGCGACGCTGTCTACCTGAACGGTCTAATTTAAGTTAAGTCAATTGATTCCATTTCGACACGCGGACGCGACGCAAACGCGACGCGACGCTCGACGCTCTCAACCTGAATGTACCTTTATAGAAAATTATATTTACTTTAATTTTGAATAGAGTTAATGTTAATTTAATTATTAATATAATAATTATTTTTAATATTTACGAATTGGGCACCCCCAAAAACATAATAAACAGAGAAATCAGAACTACCCCAAAATTTTCCTACAAAAGGCTTTTTTGAGTACAATATGACTCAGGGTGCACAAAGTCATGATTTAAAAAAAAATCATTTTGTTATATTTTAATCAGATTTTTTTTTATTTTAACCGGATTTTTTTAATTTTAATCAATTTTCTATTTAAAGTCCTATCCTAAATGTAATCTTTGTAACTCTGCCCGATATTGACAATATTAACATTACTACGACGCGTGTCGTTTTTCCACATGGGTCACCGATATATTTTATTCTGTAAACTTTGCCGATACCCCTATTTTCACAAAAAGATGGTGTAAAATCGTAATTTTTGGGGCTTACTCAACCGGGTCTCACAATGCAAATTCACCTCAAATATCCATTTAGTTGGTCATTGGCAAGCACTCTCTCATTGTTCATGAAAATAACAAAACAAACATTTACTGATCTGGATAAAATTGATAGTTAAATAGTAAGACTCACCCGGGGGTACTCCGCCCCCTAGCCATTGACATCACTGACATTCTATTCAATATATCCCATTCCATATCTTCCATCTAATTCAAATAATAGAGAACAACGGCATAAGCGCTTTTAGACGCTCAGCGTATATGACGTTCAATTTTCGCTGAGCGCGCATACGGTCGATTTCAGTATTCTCGTCTGACGCGCTTAGCGTCTTTACTGATAAAAATAAAGCGCTTTGAAAACGGTTGCCTTAAAGGATCGTTTACGCTTGTCGAACCGTCAGTGAAAATCGAAAAAATTGTGATTTTTGCGTTATCTTGCTCTTTAGTGAAAATTACTACTTCTTCTATAAATTCCTCAATAATTGATAATTTACGACTTGCCGCAGCTATAAATATTGTTCAAAACATCGAAAATGCTGAGAAGCAAACTTCAACACTTCCCTCGTATAATAAGAATAATGACATATCCATAGAAAATAGAGCTTGACATAACTCAACAATAGGTTATGAAATTCACGTAACAATGACATTTTTCATTGTTACATCCATCAGTTATCAACTTTTGACTATTACCTACATTAGACATTGTGATGTTGCCAATATGTGCTCAACGCGTATCCAGAACACGATTCGCATGGCAACGAGAATACCAAAATCGACTGCCTTGCGTTTCGCTGATCGAATACTTGCGCTCACCGCTTTGAAAGCGTAACGTTTTTATGTCAAAGTTACAGAAAATGACGGCCCAGGCGTTTCAAAAAGGTGTAAAACAGCCTTGACTCTAGTATGACTCTAGTTTATCTTTTGACATTGATTAGTCCTCGGGAATATAAATATAGCCTGATATCAGAAGAAACTATATAGTTCTGCACTAGAACTTTGCGAATGAAATGTATTCAAATACCGGATTTCTGGCACTTGACAGTTCCAAAATAAATCTCTTTTATTTGGAAGTGTAATGGATTTACACGAAGTAACTTCAAAAATCGGTCCAACATTTTAATAAATGAATAGATATTGGGGATATGTGTTATGTGCTATAATCTTTTACAATTATTTTTCGATCTATTAAAGTATTTAAACGTTACAACAGCAAGTATAACTTTGTGCTTATTTGATGAATAGATATAGGGTATATTTAATATAGGAATACTTTTTTATAGCTTTATAGGAAAAGTTTTTATAATTTTTACAGTTATCTTTCAATTCATGATAAATTTTTAAACAAGTTGAATATTTTGATTTAAATCCATGATTAAAATAAAAAAATCCATTGATTTAAATCATTGCACCCTGATATGACTAGATTATTTCTTAAGAAGGCATTATAGAATAATCTTTTAGGGGGAACTTAGCAATGTAGATTTTTATAAACAGTATATCCAGAACTGCGCTGATAATAAGAAGTGGGCAGTGTTAATGTTAGGAGGAGGTCATTTCGCTGGGGCTATATTCGATTATTTGACTCCGGTGGTTCATAAGACTTTTCATTGTTACACTGTCCGGGCTGGACAGGGAGGATCGCAGTCGTCCAGAGATAGTAAATCGGGTGGTTCCCATCCAAAGAGCGCGGGAGCTTCTTTGAGAAGATATAATGAGCAAGCATTAGTAGATGTAAGTCTCTCTAGTTTAGATTGTCCAAAATACAGGGTCCGGCAATAGTACGTCGGACATCTGTAGCTCCTAGAATAAAAAACTTGGGAGTTTTGTTTAAGTGTAAACCTAAAGTATGTACGAGGATGTATTTCAGGAAAATATTTTAACTTCTATAGGGTGGCTCAAAAAAGTGGACTTCTCCTAGGAGATGCAAGACATTGTCGTTGGTGGGGAAGCTCTTGGTCAGGTGCTGGGGGGAATCCCCCCTAGCACTTGGCTTGGTCTAAGAAGCATCTCACTCATCGTCTTGTCCCTGACTGTAGTGTCGTGGCCAGGGAATTGCACCAAGACATATAACGATACCGGGCGGGGCTACGGACAGCCTCAACCTTGGGGCACCGGGGGCCATTGTATTTACCCCTTACTTCTACATGCGGGGCTCTGTAGAAGTGGACCGACTGTCCCTAGCGACTCATGGGAACACTATGAGATCTGGTAATAATAGTAATAAAAACATCACCGGTGAAGCTGTGGGGAAACCCCCTAGCAACACTGGGAACAGTAACAATGAGAGGTGGCTGACACTTGCGTGAGACCATCCTCCGCAAGTGGCATACAAGTTACCACCTCCTGGGTCGGGAGCCTACCTCCTACCTCTAAACCCAACAGGCGACACAAGCTACCGTTTCGTCTACCCGGCCTGGGTCGTAGCTCCTCGACTGTGAATGACACGGGTCTCCGTAGGAAGTCCTGGGACTGTATGATGAGTTATAACTCAAGAAAGGGGGACACAATAGATCTCTAAGGTCGCAGAGATTAACCCCCTCCCACTTATTCTAAATTCTAAAAGTGTGAGTGGATCGGGATGAGTTTTTTTTAAATGGAACACCCTGTATATTATTGCATTTTTGGCTTCCTTTCAGATCACTTTACATAATCCTAAGATAAGAGTCTCTTTTATAAAAAATAAAAATATTTTGATAGTTGCAGAGATAAAAGCTTTTTTCGTTTTCCTGTTATTACCGATTTTGAACCGTCCTAGAATTGTGATGCGTATGCGCAGAAGGAAATATGAAGACATTATTTCATTTGCGCATGCGCTGGAGAGTTCTAGGACCATTCCGAATCGATAATAACAGGAAAACGAACCGAGCTATTAATAAATAAATAAAAATTATAAGTTTTTCAGCCTCTCTTAAAAAAATTATTAATAATTCAAGAACTGTCTTCAAAAAAAAATCAAAAGTATATTAGATATTTACTTTAGATGGTCTGTACTTACTTTGCTATAATTATGGAAATCGTAAATCGTACAGAATGTTCAAAATTCTACGCTAAACTTTCTAAAATATAAAATAATTTTTCTTCGTTTTTTTAAATGGAATACCCTGTAGATTATTTTTTCAATAGATGGAGAATTAAAAATTAAGATTTTTTTTATTTAGAGTATTTCAAAATTTTTAACGGTTTCGCAAATATTCGCGGTTTTATATTTCATATGGCATTTTCCACAGTAAATTTTTATCAAAGCCACCCAATAATTTTTCTCTCGTATTTTACCATTGAATGCGCCATATGAAATAATACTGCGTGTATCTGCAAAACTATTAAGAATTTTGAAATACTTTAAATACAAAAAATGTTCATTTTTTAACTCTCCATATAATAAAAAAATAATATAAAGGGTGTTCTATTTAAAAAAAAACAAAGAAAAAATATTTTATATTTTAGAAAGTTTGGCGTAGAATATTGAACATCCTGTATGATTTACGATTACCATATTTATAGCAAAGTAAGAACAGACTATCTAAAATGAATACCTAATATAGTTTTGATTTCAGAACAGTTCTTGTATTTTTAATAATTTTTTTAAGAAGGGTTGAAAAATATAATATTTTTGATTTATTTTTTAATATCTCTGAAACTATCGAAATATATTTACTCATATCTTAGGATTATGTAAAGTGATCAGAAAGGAAGCCAAAAATGCAATAATATCCAGGGTGTTCCATTTAAAAAAAATCATCCATATAATAGAGCCACCCTATAGAAGTTAAAATATTTTCCTGAAATACATCCTGATGCATACTTTAGGTTTGCACTTAAACAAAACGTCCAAATTTTTTATTCTGGGAGCTACAGATGCCCGACGCACTATTGCCGGACCCTGTATTAAAGGTTATCCATGTCATTCAACACTAATAATATAAATAAATTGATTTAAAAAAAGAAGAGTTTTTTTGTTTAATTGTTATAGTATCTATTAAAGCTACAATTTAAAATTATTTTTAACAGCTAGAGAGAGTCCAAATAAATAAAAAAGAGTGCCAAATAAATAAGAAATATTGAAAAACCCTTAATTTTATTTATTTAAATGGAACATTCTGTATATTAGTACATGTTTAGTTAAACGAAATAGTGATAAATTTAGTTATGGCTTTCCTCACAAAAATGTAATTCTTTTGAACAGTTTCAATGTTTTTCTCTATGTGTATTTATGTATTTATAGGTAAATATACAATGCATTTTTCTTATTGATTAAATGTTGTATTTTAAAATAATGACATTAACTTCAGTAGGGTATCTAAAATCCCGTTCTCAAAACTTCGTATTGTCGCCAATGACACGTCAAATGAACCAACAAGATTTGTACAAAATTCAAACAGCTGTCAATTTTAAATTTAGTACAAGTCTTATTGGTTCTTTGAAGTGTCAATCAGTGTCGCTGGCGACACTACGTAGAACTTCGAGAATGCGATTCTCATTAGTCGCTTCTGAAGTCATGTAAGCAGAGATAAGCCTGCGTGTTTTTAATATTTTTCGACAATCGAAATATCGAGATATTCGACATCACTGATACCGGGTGCGTCTCAAAATTGGCTCACCTCTATAACTTTTTTATTTTTTCAAATAAATAAACCAGATTAGGCTTGTTAGCATAATGATATAAATTAGGATTGATTGAGTATTGTTTTTGGTCACTTCCTGTTTTACCGGAAGTGATTACAACTTTTGATTTTTAAATGGCACCATTCGATAGAAAATGACTCTGAATAGAATGACATATCATATGTCAACTTTTGATATTTTCGCATATGGTTTATTTGAAATACCAAGAGTGTGGCACCAAATTATTACAGTGGGGGGTTGGAATCTTTTGTGTTACAACAGCAAAACACTAAATTACCATATTATTCGTAAAAAAATATTTTTTTTTCAAATATGCTAACGAGCCACCCTTGTTCCATTAGAAAAAATGAGATATGATTAAAAATACGATTTGGGCATCGTTTAGCCATAGATAAAAGATACAAGTTTAGATTGGAAAGTGCCCATAAAGACAATGTAAATACTATTTGGCGCTATTCTGACAACGGTCGCGACCCAAAGCTTTTGATAATTTCGGATCAGTTCGGCTTTTTCCGGAATTTTCTCGCCAAATATTGTTTATTCAAATTTATTACTAATTTCTTTCAATTTTATAAATAAAATACAGTGTGTTGCATACAAGAAACTTTATTTTATATAAGGACATGTATGAAATACCTATGAAACATTGGAAACCGACGTTATGCCACTGCCCATGATAGTTTTTGCAGTTCACAACACAGCCTTTTAAGTTTTTAATGCCACTTTTTCACAATTATCACGGGTTTGAGTAAATAGAATTGAAATTAAACGCACAAGATAGCAATAATTTCCTTGAAAATGGACGCTTTAAACACTTTTCGGTATTTTTTCAATGAGGGTGGTTTAAATTTTGAAAGATTTTATAATTTTTGAAGATTCTGACTTTGACAAGAGAAAATTCTGTTATTGTTTGCGGTTGTTCTTAGCAACGGCTATAGCAGCGCCAGATCGCGTACAATGGTCGCGACCCAAATCAAATATACATATATTTTGACGGGCTTTTCTATCTAAATTTATTTCCTTTATCTATGCTTTTAGCCGGCCAGGACAAGACACGAAAAACATTAGACGATCAAATCTATTTTTCCAAAGCTAAATGAAGCTAAATAAATGTCAGAATTTGATATATGATACATATGTCCATATATATATATATATATATATATATATATATATATATATATATATATATATATATATATATAAAACAATTAATAAGTCAATCAATCCTAATTTATGTCATACATATACTAACATACCAAATCTCGTTTTTTTATCTGAAAAAATAAAAAAGTTATAGGGGGTGAGACACTTTCGAGATATATATTGTAGGTACAGAGAACAGTAATTTACACACAAAAAATACTTTATGATTACCTCTAACTGTTACATTTTAAGAGAATCAATCAATTATATATTTTGTGTGGAATGACTTGAATACTCTGTATATATTTTATTTATATTTATTTCGATTAACATCAATCTTTTGGCTTTGTCTTGTCTCAGCAAAGAGATTGAGTTTTACCTATATCTTAGCATGTTCGAAGTATAATGGAACTATGGACTGAAGAAATAAAGAACTGCAGTCTTATATTCTATAGAGCTTCGGGCCCTTACAATCGGTCAGTTCTCTTTGGAGGAAAAGATCCAATACTGGATCGAAATGATCCTAGGCTTAGAACTATACCATTTTCAACAGGAAGGGCCACATTTAAGGAAGTTAAAAGGGTGCATCTGGAACTGGTCTCAGGCGTTATATATGGTAATGAGTAATGAAGCATTTTTTCTCATTGACATGCATTAAATTTTTTATTCTTGTAGAAACACTGGATGAAGCAGCTTCTTTATTTGCTAAACAAAGATCGCCAGAGAAGGAAACCAAACGAAATAAGGTTCGCTCAAGTTGTATAAATCGCGCAAAATCGCGAGAAATAATCCAGAGGCCCTTACCAGGAGATACAGGGTAAAATATTTGAAACTTCTATATTTTTTTGTTTACACAGTGTGCGTAAAAATGCCAGCTTCATATGAGTTTTTTTTTATTAAAGCAAACAGATAAACATAAGTGACATAGTTAATTTTTGCTCGCATAAAAAGAAGTTTGTTAGGTGTTCACATTTTCATTAAAATTTTGTGTTTATTTCATTTCCTGTTACTCAGTGATTTTATTACTAATCATTGTTAATCAGTAAACTTACAAAACATAATTATTGCAGGTATAATAGTTGCCACATTATTAGGTTCTGAAGAGTTTTCTGACTCTCCTGTAAAATTAGTAAAATGGCGCTTATCATGTTTTTCCCCTGAATATTTTTTGTAATTTCATTTATAGTTTTTAGTGTAGAAAAAACGATAGTTTTGCTGTGAAACTGTGATCCCGTCAGTTCTCTAAACGGTTTTAATTCAGTTCAAGTAATTTTTTTATTTTCAAGTAGATTTTTCATCTACATACTGTGTTTAAACTTAACACGTTTTGTCTGAACAGTTAAGGCGTAGGGTAAAACGTTATGTGTAGACGGTACTTAAGAATTAAATAGAATAAAGGACTGCAGTTAAAATATTTCTGAAAATAGTTGTTGTTACATTAAGTAATATTTCGATTTTGCATATACGAGCCCTAACAACTAAATGTTCGGACAAACAAAAATTTATTAAAAATTTTTATTTTCATTAACTGAATTATTTACATTTAAGAAGTACATTAAAAATATATTAAAATCTAACATTTCTAATGAGTATTTAACTAGTTTAGTTTCTATAAACATTAAATTAAACTGTAGGCCAATAAATAAACAAAAAGATTGCACAATATCGTGACAACTAAATGTTCGGACACTTTAAAAAATAACTGTTCTAATATGGCGTTACATCGGCACGAACTTTTGCAACCACTGCAAGCCTGTTTGGCATTATTTTTATTAATGATTGACATGCGGCAGAGTAAAAATTTTGCCATAGTTTACTTAATATCATCGTCAAATGGGCAACGGTTTCTTGGGGATTGTAGCACAATTTTTGTTTTGTTTTATGCCACATGTCGATAACATTAAGGTCTCGACTGTGCGAAGGCTATGAGGGGACCTTGATGATCATGTCCCTAAACCATTTTTTAGTAGTTTCAGCTGTAGGGCATGCCCCGCCATCCTGTTGAAATATAAAATTATTGTCCTGGTCTTTGCCAGAACAATTGGTTACAAGGACCTTTGTCCTTCCCACTTGACACAAGAATATGTTTCAAAATTTTTTGATTTTTTGACGCATCAATTATGCCTTCTACCACCTCATACTTTTCTGAGCCTATTTTGGACATACTCCTTCAAATCATAATGCTTTTAGGAAATTTCACTGTCTTTTGGAGGCAATCTTCTCCACTCTAGCGGTGTTAATTATATCGATATTAAGGTGGCTCATGTGCACATGTAATTCGTGCACTTGCCATTTGCGATTGGAAAGTCCGGTTCTACAGCGTGATCCGCCTTCCGGTTCCTTGCCGCCATTGCCTTCTGTCCATCCAGTCATCGGCGTTTTCTTTTTCCAGTTGGGATCCATTTCATTATGGAAGGTATGAGGTGGTAGAAAGGCACAACTAATGTGTCAAAATATCAAGAACTTTTGAAAAACAGTTTTGTACCAAGTGTGAGAGACCTTTACCAGGATATGAATTTTATATTTCAACAGGATGGCGGAGCATGCGATATGGCTAAAACCAAGGATACTAAAGAGATAAGGCTTTGAATAAGAAGACTAAGGAAGGAGCATAATGCTATCCATGTATTCATGCATGGTGGGCGGAAAAAGCACTCTAGGGTGGGGATCCTTGACAGTTCTGTTTGACGATTCATTTGACACATTTGAATTTGATTTGAAATTTTGTGGATTTGTCACTCTTTACGGGGCTTATTTTATGTTATTTATTATTTATTCTACTACTGATAGTTGTATAAAGGTAGTAAATCTAGATGGAAATTGTGGCAGAACTTAAATTAACAGTGACACTATCGCGATTTATCGAAAAAGACTCTAAAATAGTTGGTTGTGTAGCGTGCGGTAGATCTCGGCAAAAATTGAGGGAAATAATGGAACAACTTTTCCTAGTAAGTGACTATATAATATACATACGTGTAGTAAACCGATCATTTATGAAATTCACTTAAATTAACTAAATTATATATTTTTCTTACATTTTAGCTTTTATTTATTACTTGTCAAAGAATTTAGATACGTTAATTTGACTTACCTGCTTCAGTAGCGTATCGGATGTTTGTGTTAATAAATACTTATTATAACTTATCTATTTTATTAGAATTATATATTTTTATAACAATTTTAATAACTACCAACATTTATTCACAACGTAAAATAAAACAACAAATTATTGAGTCTACCCCACGTCTACCCTACATCATAGTTTTACATTTTTTAAATAAAATTAGAACGACATTGATAAACCGGAATTTAAGTCGGCCATATTTGAGGCCCATCGCGGTGTACCTAAGATTTTTGATATGCTCCTTCCTTAGTCTTCTTATTGAAAGAGATAAGGATAGTTCGATTCCTATCTTCCTGCACTGTCAGTTTTTTTACGTCATCTACTGACCGAGTTGAAGTTGGCGCTAAAGATTTTAGACAGTGACAGTTATTTTTGCATTTGACGGACGAGCGCACAGTGCGTTGGAAGATAAATTTAGCGGGACAAAAGCGTTTGGTTAGAAATAAGCCAAAAAATGTGTACTGATAAGAATAAATAGTAGACATTCCAATTGATACAAAAATGTATGAATATTCGTTGTATTTCGATACATTTTTATCAACCAAACTTGGTCGTTTTCTGCTCAGCAAGGCAGAGATTATACGAAAACAAAATATTTACAAGTGCTTATACATTTTATTAGAAAGCCAAATTATGTTGAAGATTGCCAAAGATATGTACTTTTCTACTGTACGTATATTATTTGTTATAATCCTTCGTGCCTTTGTTCTGCAGATATCAAACTTTCACTTTTTTTTCAAATATCGATATATTGAATGATATAGATCTTTTGAGTTACCAGTAGTTACCAACACAGGTAGTTACAGTCACAGGGAGTTCAAGCTTAACAGGTGAATGCACAAAAAGATTAATTTCAATCGGATAGTATAAAAACAAAACAACTCCATCAAAAGGCATTGAGTTTAAAAAATTTTCTTAGATACTTACTATATATGAATTTACAATTACCGAGTGTTAAAATTAAAATTAAAATATCTATCTTATTTATTATTTTCAAAATAAAATATATATTTTTTTTAAATAAATTATAGAGGGTGTCACAAGATTACAAATTAATTAAAAAAAAACTGCTAAAGAGTTTTTTGATATCATAATTTTATGTATTTGGCAATAGTTTACAATACGATTTTTGTGTGTCATGTACGAATAATATCATACTTTTATTATCTTGTATTTATTTGTTAATAAATTAAGTTGTTAATAAATAAATAAATTTAACCATATAGTTGCTATATATTAGACCATTTGCTACGTTCTTAGATTTTAAGTCCCAAACATTGCTCTTGAGATTTTGTCCCGCTAGAATAACCATCCGCCGCACTGTGGAGCGCTGGTCAGCGCGTGACGTAGCATTCCACGGCGACTACGACAGCGGCGATTTGACGCGATCGAACAGTCCTTTAGAATATATACAGTCCTTGGGCTAAAACTACTAAAAATGGTTTAGGGACATGAACATCAAGGTCCCCTCATGGCCTTCGCATAGTCCGGACCTTAATGTTATCGAGATATATGGCATAAAACAAAACAAAAACTGTGCCACGATCCTCAAGAAACCGTTGCCCACTTGACGATGATATTAAGTGAATTATGACAAAATTTTTACTCTGGCGTATGTCAATCATTAATAAAAACAATGCCAAACAGACATGCAGTGGTTGCAATAGTTCATGCCGATGTAACGCCATATTAGAACAGTTCTTTTTAAAGTGTCCGAACATTTAGTTGTCACGATATTGTGCAATATTTTTGTTTATTTATTGGCCTACAGTATATTTTACTGTTTATAGAAACTAAACTATTTAAATACTCATTAGAAATGTTAGATTTTAATATATTGTTAGAGGAGAGTGCCTTGTTTACAATTTGCCACTATATGTGGCAACCTATAAAGAACACTCCCTAGTGGTTTTCAACATTTGGTCCACACATTCTGTTGGTGTTTGTATCTTGTATTTGGTCGACATTTCTTCTATGAACGTTTTTATTTCGTTGCTGTATTTATTGAAGTTTCTCTTGTTGCTGTATTTATTGAAATTTAATATATTGTTGTAGTGCTTTTAGGGTAGGTGAGGTTAGGTTGCTGGGGTTTGGGATCTTATTTGATCCCTCACTCGGAGGCCTTGGGTCCATTGTATTAATTTACGTAACTTGGATGCGAATACGTACTGGATGCCAATCTCTCATTCTTTCTTTGCGTTAAAGAACCTCCAGCTCTTCGCAAAGTTCCCGATGTTGCTGATGTTGGCTTCTGCTGCGTTCTTTAGTCCGTCCAAAAAACCGTGCACTAAAGTTTTAAAGCATCGGTTTTCCAGTGCCGGACAGTGGTACAGCAGGTGCTCTATAGTTTATTCTTCCTCTCCGAATTTTCTGCAGGTTTACCCCCGTGGGACAGTTTCCCGTGACGATACCTACAATTATGCGTACTAGGCTTCTTTTTGTACTTTAGTAGTTGATTTGTCTTTTTGCTATCTACCACTGGCCATAGTCTTCTAGCGCAGTAATCACGGTGTTACCACGGCTCTTGCTGCTTGGCCTTGATGGTAGTTTCTATAGCTTCCTTCAGTGAGTTGATAGTCACAAGTGGTGGGTCGTCCGTCACGGCCTCTCCCCTGACCCCCTCTTTGGCGAGTCTGTCCGCTTCTTGGTTGCTCACCACATTGTTGTGGCCTGGCACCCAGCAGAAAGTAGCCCCGCATATTGACGCAGCCAGAATAGTGCTTCTTGGCAGTCCATCACAGTTTTTGATCTCACTGATTACATGGAGATGCTTCTTAAACTATCCAAGCTGTCAGAGTATATGACCAATAGCCTTAAAGATCGTCGGATGTCTAGGTCCTGTGAGAAGATGCCTATATCTGTGCCTCCTGAAGTAACGGAAGCATCTGTGTAGACTGCTATCTCTTGAGTGTTCATTACTAGATTGCTTTCCCATTCTTCTCTAGTCGGGATGCGAATCCTTATCTTTTCTCCAAGTCATGTTTGGTGAGCATATAGTCCGTTTTCTGGTCTAGCAGATGTGGACTCGTGTTCGCCATGATTTTCCCTATCATTGGCAATATCCTCGAGTGACCGTAGTTGGTCTGGTTCCACAGATTGGATTCCCTTAGGGACTAGTCAAATTAGTTGAAAAAATGTCAAAATATTGATATTATCGTAGGGCTTTTAGGGTAACAAAATTTGGAAAATAGCAAAAAATTTAAAACTAGACAATACTTTTAAACATTTTAATAAATAAAGGCATGTCAATTTTTTTAGATAAGCAGATATTTTTACCTGCTTCTGACAACAGAAAAAAAATTGATGAAGCCTTGTTAGTGGACACTATATATTCAGTAATTCCTGAATCACTTTCAGGAATAGCAGCTCGGAGGAAAATATTTCTAATGTAAACTATGCCAGACTAGAATCAGAAAATTTGGAGGATGCTGGTGAAAACGATAATCTTGTATCTGATGTTTTAGAAGTGTCTTTTGATGATTTGAAGGAATATGCAGATAGTCTAACCCCGGAGGAAAGAAGAAATCATCAAAACAAAAGAAAACCTAAGTATATTAGTAAATAATATGTTTATTTATTAAGACTGCCATTAAATAATTTGTAGGAAAAGTAAAAACCAAAAACTTCGGGAGAAAGAAGAGGCGAGGAAAAAGAACTTGGTAGATATTTTGACTAAAGGGAATGTGATATTAATGAAGGAGCTTTTTGAAGAACGTTTAAAAACATTCCAAGATATTCCAAATATGCCAGAGTCAGATCTAGCAAAGGAGTTTTTCAATAGTGAAGTTCTAGATGATAAAGGAAATGGATTCTTACATATTGCAGCTTTGAACGAGCACGACGAAATGATACAATATCTCTTAGAAAATAACGCTGATCCTTGTGCAAAGAATAAAAATCAACAAACCCCTTATAGTTGTACAAAAAGTAAAACTGTTAGAGAAGTATTTCGGAAATTTGCAAAAGAGAACCCAGATAAATATGATTACAATAAGGTAAGTACGCTCTGTGTTAATTGTTAATCATCTAACAAATTCCCTTTAGTTTCCCCAGTTTTTTTTTCTATTATAATTAGTGTTTTAAAATGCTAGAACATTTATTTTCGGAGAACAATCACCGAAAACGAACGAGAATAAATGAGCAAATAGGGTAGAAATACAGGGTGTCCCATTATTCCGTGGACATAGAACTACTACGTATTTTTAAAATCAATATTAGTTCATTGGGCACAATTTACCTCTATACAAAAGTGCTTCGTTTGTTCGCTAAGTGGCATCAAACTTTAAAAAAATAAACATTTTTTTAAGTTATTTTAAGAACCGATACTCTGATTTGAATGAGATTTGGGGTCCCTATGTTTTGCTAAGAGCTTAAACATTTGACTTTCACAGAATAAAAGAAAAAGAACGGGAAGGGTGAAAACTACCCCCCACCTCTACATAAATTTTGGTAGAAATATTTTCCAACTCCACCAATGAAATTTTTTTTCGTAAAATGGTACTTCTTGTATTTACTACATGTTTTATCTTCGTAAAAACGCCACATCGCATAGTATTTAAGAAAAAAAAATATATTTTTTTATACCAGACCTACAAAATATACAGGGTTTTTCAATATTCCGTGGACAGAACAACTACGTATTTTTTAATAAAAATAAGTTATTTGCGCACAATTTATCTCTATACAAAAGTGCTTCGTTTGTCCATTATCGGGAGGGCATCAATCAAATTAAGAGCATCAAATAACCTAGAACATTGAAGCTTATTGTCAAATACCATTTGTGATACTAACATAACAACATTTATTTTCCGTATGTACTAGCACATTCTGCGCCTACATAGGTTGATGTGTCAAGAAATATTTTTTTGTAAGTCAGATCGGAAAACTAGTTTTTTTCTCAACAAATATGCGCGATGGCGTTTTTTTTACGAGAGACAAAAATGTAGTAAACACTAGAAGGATTGTTTTATATATTTCTACTAAAATTTATGTAGGAGTATGATGGGTAGTTTTCACTCTTCTCGTATATTTTCTGTGTATAGCTTACCACGCATTTATGCGAAGCGCTGCGCGGCGAGAAACTGCATTGGATTAATTGTATGTAATATAATGTGCGCTGCGCCGCGCTTCGCACAAGTGCACGGTATGTTTAAGTCAAATGTTAAAACGCATAGCAAAACATAGGTACTCCAAATTTCATTCAAGTCGAAATACCGGTTCTTAAAAAATGTGTTTAATTTTTTAAAGTATGGTGCCCCCTGGCGGACATATGAAGCATTTTTGTATAGAGATAAGTTGTGTCCAATGAACTTATGTGGAACTTATTTCGATTTCAAAAATACGTTAGTTCTGTGTCCACAGAATATTGAGACACCCTGTATATATGAAAATAGGTTGGAAAAGCTATCAGATAAGTTTTATAAAACTTATTCTGAATTTTCTTATTTTTTTTTCTTATTATTCTCGAGAAGACTGAGAACATCTAGAAAATGAGAACATCTAGAAAAAAAGAAGATTTGAGAAGAAGCCAATTAAAACGGCAAATGAATAGCTAAATCTATATAATAGAGGTAGAATCCTCGTTTGTGTTCATACGTGCTCTAAGGGAACGTTCCCACACAATGAAGCGTTCTCTCTTCATGAGTGGGAAGATTCTCTCTATTACAACACTAATTATAATAAATTACTCTAAATACGAACAAAAGAAATAAAGTATAACGTCTAGCCTTTCGAGTCAGGGGATATTTTGACAGACAACATCTAAAAAATGACTTTGATGACATCATGTTATTTATATACTTGTAAAGTAAAATAACACTCATATAACAACTGTCACTGACATGTAATTTCTTGTTAGACAGACTGTATACATAGATATTATAGTGTCATAGATAAATTTCGTCATCATATTAGATATGTCTTTTCTTTTATTACTTGTTTTAAGTGAAATTTGACAACACCACTAAATTTTATTTCAGGCTCAGATACCGTTAAATGTCTTAACCGATCAAGAAATCGCGGAAAAGAAGAAAGCTCAAAGAAAAGTAAAAAAAGACAAAGAAAAGGAAAAGAAAAAAGAAAACTACATTAAACAAAAAGAGTACGAAGAAACAAATAGATTTTTAAATCTGAGTGATAGAGAAAAGGTTAGTGCAATAATTTCAATCATAATACTGGTAAAACTTACTAAAAATTATGAATAATAGAGATGCAGTTACAAAGGGTAGTATTCCTATACAGTATGTTGATACTAAAAAAATTAATCGTCGTATAAGGGAATTTTCAGGATTAATTTCAAGTTTTTTATAGCAGAAATCTAATTTTCCTCATTTCATGATTTTATATTGTGTATGAGACACTGAATTTTATTATGGTTGGGGGATTGGAACCTTTGGTGTTACAACAGCAAAATAACTGAATTTTATATAGAATACACGTAGGCAATCTCTAATCTATTTTAAATTTTGTGCTATGCAACTACCTTTTTCAGTTCATAATTTGATTTTACTAGGTCATTTTTTGTTCCAAACAACTTAAGATGTATCTCATATATTACAAAAAACTGTAAATCAAAAAGTCTACGATATTATTTTGCACGAATCAATGCTATTACACCATATTTGGTTTAAAAGAGTATAATCTTAATAAACATCTCCCACTTACAAACGTGACATTCGATTGCCGGAATTTTTCAGCGTTGCCAGATTTAATAAGAAAATAAAAGTTAATTCTATTGATAGTTCACACACAATTTAGACGCCGTTCTATCATATCTGTCGTGTGATATATTTGTTTGTCTCTCAAAGATTCGTTTATATTTTATTTGTTTTAAGATCCCACCAATAAAACTTTTTAAACTAAGTAAGATGCCGAAACCAGCTGCGAAATAAGTGATCTCACCTTAAGATTTTTTACAAGCAAAAAAAGTTTTTTTGCCAACCTGTTGGCCGCGAATTGATATTTCAGCAATATTATATAAGACTGAGGAAGTATGACAACAGAGGCACCATAAAAATGTGATGTAAAACCAAGAATAGTTAGTCTAATAGGACTGCTCATTCAGCCGAAAGTGTCTGTCAGGTGCATGCGAAAACTCTTCGCTTTGTGACGTCATTGTAAAAAAAATTGTCATGATAGCACAGATTATACAGATTATAATCTTTGTTTTTTCTTTATTGTTTTTCGTGGTTCCAATTTTCGAAATCGGGCACTACTTAGGTATCTAGTTTGCGCACAAAGCACGCCCACTTATGGCCTCTAAAATTGTGCACAGCGTCTGACCGGCACAATTATTAGAGAGATATCGGAAAACCGAATAGCGTCATCCAGTATTTACGCGTACCTTATCATGGTTACGATATGCGCGAGTCAATTTTTAACGCAACACCCGCTAATAACGTTACCGCCTGACGTAATTTGCGGATCAATTAACTATTAACTTGCATTCATTTCTTTGTGTTTTTAGTCTTTTATAGCGTTATAGACATATTTTTTTAATTCTTAATTTTCTTTAATCCTCAATTTTAATTATCCTAGAATCAGTAGGTCAACCAATTAAGGGGTATTTTTATGAGGCCGAATTACAGAAGACAAAGACAAAGTCTCCTGGTATTGATCTAGTTGAAATAATGCTAGGTCACCACCAGAAAAATAATAATAAACAATTTTATGTGAAGTGGTTAGGCTTTTCTGCCAGGTTTAACTCATGGATTGATGTTCGGATATTATTTAAAATTTATAATATTTAAACTTTATAAACCAAGGTTTATACTATTAAAAATAAACACATATTTTTTTTAAATCGTATTATATTTAAATAAATTACATTTATTAGTAGTTAATAATAATAATAATCTTTACTTCAAGGAATGTAACATACAAATGTAAAAATACAAAATAGTATATACAGAAAATGAAATGACGTCACACAATATTTATTGACTTGTCTACAGGAAATCTGAGAAATATGGCTCTATATCAAATTAACAAATTTTTCAATTATGCAACTACTCTTTACTTGTCTCAAACTACTCTTTACTTCTATTAACTTGACTTCAAGTGGCAACCTATTAAACAACTTTACACTCATGTACCAAGGATCCTTCTCAAAGAGGCTCAGCTATCTTAGGATTTCAAAATCCACAGTTCTTGTATTATAGGCATACTCAGCCGAGACTTCACGAAAAATATTCTTGGTATATATTTGATCTGACCAAAGTCCTGTTATCGTTCTTATTCAGCTGATCTTCCAGAAGTGCAATCCTTGTCGTGTATTTGGGTTTATCGTCTTCTATCTCAGACGATTTAAATTGAATAAAGTTGATTAACGATTGGAGGATTATGAAAATTCACTGGTCGATTTTCATCTTTTATAGCAACATCTTTAACTAAAAATAAAAATACTTTATACGCTTGTATATATCTTAGTATAAATAACAAACCTCTGATTCATTTTTAAATCTTTTTCTTAATCTGTCAAATCTAGAAGATGACTTGTAGGGTTGAAGACAGGAAGTAGTTGGAGAAAGGAAGAATATCCCAAATTTTGGCTGAATTAGACTTATCTCCTAACATAATTTGTCTTAAAAACAAAAACGTATTTTTCGCTAATTTAAACTCAATAAATGATAATTTTGCAAAACGGACTTACCAGTTATAAAGTCTTTGGAACAAATTCGTTTCTTTTAAATCTCACTTTCATACAGGGGCCTTTCATTTCAAAGCTTTTAACCACACTTCTCTTCGAACATTAGATAATGCATTTAAATTATTTCCTCTGTTGGTCAAAGCAGCATGATTTGGGAAAAATTAGACATTATCACGCATTAAACACTTAACAAAACAACAAAAATGAGGCATTTTTTACTGTTTTAAGTTCGTTTAAACCTTGGATTATTGTGTTTACATATGGACAACGTGAAAATTAATTGGTTTGTGTGCATAGAGAAAGTTAATTGTGTGCCTCCCAGCAAATTTTGCCGACCCGTCAGTGACGTCATTCTGGAATGGTCTATGGGCATGTGCGGGTATTTGACAACCGGAGCCGGCCGGCGAGATCTTTTATTTTAGGTTATGTTTGAATTGTTTTGAATTATTGCTTTAGTTTTATTAGGTAATTTGATATTTAAGTAGCTGGGATTAGTTTTAATTAAATAAATATGGCCCAAAATATGGATTCCACCTCTTTCAATATTAAAGAATCTACAGAGAGGCTTAGGTTTACAGCAGATGACGACTTAGCCCTTCTAAGAGAATTTGTTGCTTGTTGCCCTAAACCCACTGGCAGACGTTGAACAATAAAGCACTGGAAATAAGCACTTTAGCCCTTTAGTTTTAAAATACCTAGTAAACAAACCAATTTCAAAGTTTTAAATTCAAAGTTAGGTTAAGTTTAAATAGCGGACGCGACGCGATCAGAATTCTTTCCGATCCGATAACTATAAATGAAGAGAGTTAATACCACCTCACGTAAAGGAAATAACACCTGGCCTTATTAACGTCCATGCACGCTATTCGGTTTAGCGATATCTCTCTATTACGCTGTTTATTGTTATTTTACGCGAGTTTATTTTCGCGCACAGGAAATTTGACTCGTTTGCACATCGTCATAAAAAACAATTTTCGTACCACGAATTAGGGACAAGATTTTTATCTGTATACTTATAGGATACCTAATCTGTGATGATAGTGTGTGTATTATTGGTTGCCGTATGCAAAACATTCATTATTTAGTTTATTTAATTAAACACCTTATACCTTATATGTGTGCAGTATAGAAAATTAACTGTATAAATCGTATTAAATAACCGCATAATGCATTTTTAAGAACAGCAGTTCCAAGCATCACCTTTTACAGGCATTCTTTTTAGAGTACTTCCATATAAACAATATCGTAAGCACTTAGTCACAATCCACAATACAAAATGAACGTATTTATAAACTCTATAACTCTAAAAACCTTAAAAACACCTTTTTCACATTTAAAATCGACAAAATAATTAACTCAAAATTTCTCAGCTGTTATTTTTTATTAGTTTACCATAGGCAAACAATAATACATACTATCATGACAAGGACTGCAATGACGTCACATCTGTCAGCTGAAGCGCGGGAAGAGGCGAACGTACGTCTTATGAGGATGAGCAATCCTATTAGTTCTTGATGTAAAACATTCAATTTTAAAATTATAAATTTAATTAAATATTCAAAGCAATCAAATTTGCATTAAAAAAAACAAAGAAAAACGAAAACACAGAAAAACACAAAAAGGTTGACATCAAAGCAATCAAAACACGCTTATCGAGACATTAACCTTACTTAAGATCCACCGACCGTCTAATCATTACCTACTTTTTTTTGAGTCCCTCTCTTATTTTGTATGATTAGGTAACTGCATTGATTCCTAAAAAATACTGTAGACTTCTATTAATCTCTGGTAACTTAAACTTTTATGCGATATTAGACGTGTTGATTTTTTAAATTATTCAAATATTTCTAGAGGGCGCTGGCCGCAGAAAGAAGAATTTTAAATGCTCACGGAAAAGTAATATCACGATGCTTTTTGTGTGGATCCGATATGGCTGGACGAACCCCATTTGAGTATTTAGAAAACAGGTTTTGTTCAATTGAATGTTTAAAAAGTCATAGATTGAAAATACATTAACGGAAATAAATTTATTTGTAATAATACTAAAAAGTCTTTAATATTTTCCATACATCTTTATTTAATACAATTTTCATCTTTAATCAAAAACTAGATATACCTACTTAAAAAAATATAAAATGTAAAACAACCTAAAAAACACAACATATCTTTGGTACTTGATGATGTCAATATCAATTACCTATTTATATTTAAATAAAATCTATTGAAAAGCCTTTTACACAAAGAACATTCTTTTTTCATATTTATTGTTTTTTTAATATTGATTTATTTTTGGTCCATAGTAGGATAATAAAATAGTGTTTAGGATTAAAATTAATATTTGAGAGATATATTCAACATAAAACTATAACAGAAAAACACAAATATAGTAAATTTTATACAAACTCAACAAAAAATTCTCGCCTGTCTATGATAAAATATCACATTTAGTTTTCAATAAGCAAAAATACACTTATACATCACAAGTAGGTAAAATAATTATTAATAAATGTATTTTATCATATATTCATTTTGCATTAATATCGCTTAAAAAAGGCTAAAGACGATCCTTAATCTTTGACGTAACTTAAACAGTCCCATTTGCTTGAGCAATCAAATTGTATCTGAAGAGAATTTAGGTGTTTGAAACTATCACCAGATTAAAAGGAAACTGAAAAAATATATTTAGAACATAGTCTGTCGAAAATTAGTTGCTATGATTTCTACAACGACATCAAAAAAAAATGACAGAAATGGATTGTACTTTTCAATCAAATAACAGGAAACTGTCACAAATATATTCTTGCATTCGATAGAATCATTTTATATCCATGAAATATTTGTCTCAATGTAATTCAGTGAAGATCATAATTTTTCGTTGGTTTGAGAAAGGTTAAGACCTGGTTAATTTTTTTCACCTAACCCTAACAGCGCTTTCAGATGGTCCGCGTGTTTTTTGAAGATAGCCGTCGGACGAAATCATCCGGACGGAGCATACGCGACCCATGTGAAATTGTTGCTCGAAGTCGCGGACGGTCTGCTCCATCTGAAAGCGCTGTAAGTATATGTTATATGTTTCAAGTAAATAAAAAGTCACAAAATACATGGTAAGAATTAATTATCACCAAAGAAAAATCCCTCTTAAAATAAAAATTGCTGATATACTTTTAATTTAAAAGATAGACTTTTATGGACACTACACAACGTGAAGTACGTCACAACGTTAGTACAACCGGAAAGACTTTGTTGACGTATAATAATCGCATACTCTGTATTTTTGCACATAAAACAGATTTAATTTTTAAGCATTTTGTTTTATTAATAACATAGTATTGTAGGGGTTATGATGTGATCAAGTATATGTCAAGGTTTAATTTTACGTATATCGATCGGGTCGTCGCTAAAGCGTGGTCTGGATTTTAAACGGTCTGCCGTTTAGGCTCTTAGATAATTTGCGCAAACCAAACTGTACCAATAAATCGTAAAGTGTAAACAGAAATCGTTAGTTTGTGCAGTTCAAAAATTTGGCTTGAGTAAAATCTGTCTCGTCTTGATTTTTAACCGGGCGTTACCACGGTTTTGGATAGTTGTGGCATTTGCTGGTGAACATTTAACCTCACAAGTTTTGTTTATCGAATGTGTATTTAAAGAAGCGTCTAGAGAATGCCGTGACGACATCTGATCCTGTTTGTTTTGACAGTATTTGTCTTCGGTTGTACGGCGGAACTAAGTAATGCCGAGCTATAGCTGATTTGCAAAAGCAGCTGTGGCTCCATTGGTAAGGCGGTCGCTTGGGGTTGGAGAGGTCCACGGTTCGAATTCTACAAATATAGAATTTGTTTTACTTTTTTAAAGCTGTCGGTAATAGCAATCAAAACACGCCGTAGGGCCGTCCTCTGGGGTTATTTTTTGTTTAGATTGCACGCGAAATACCCGACCGAGTATCGTTTATGGGTTATTGCGCATGCACACTCCTGTCAAATCTAGCTGTGATCAGATGACGCCAGGGTATTTTCTAGACGCTTGTTGTATTTCATTGTTAGGTGAGTTTTTTAAGATAGGTAGTTTAATATTATATTTGTTTATACAATACCTACTGGTTTCCCAGAAATATTTATATAGTTTAAGTACCAAGCCGTAAACAAATAAAAAATGAGGTTACGCTTATTTTCTTTTCGGGTTATTTATATAAAATCCGTCAGTTTGTGCTCTTTGTGCACAAATAACCTGAATGTGTAAACGAAAAAATAGGTTTGCGCAAATTTTGTAGTGTGGCTTGCGCAAATTATCTGAGAGTCTAAACGGCCCTTAAGACAGTGATGTAGACAGCTTAATGAAAAATCGAATGTATAATAGATAAGTTAGGTTGATACATTTCTTCTATGCGATATTGTCGGATTTTGCCTCAAAATTTCAAACCGCATAAGTAGGCGTTTACGATCTAGTACTGGAACTTTATTTTTCACAATTAGTTACTCATTTGACTACAGCTGATATAGATTATATTTAGCTTAGATGTATTATCTTCATTTCAGTAATATACATGAAAGTTTTTAAAATATGTAACTGCTTTTTTTTTCTAATTTATTTAAGGCTAAGATAATAATATATTTATACCGGATCGATAGAAGAAGGGTCTTGGTGGCGTTTACCTACGTCTAGAAGTGAATCGCTATACCGATCTTATAAGTCGGAGAGAGAAAAGTGCGAAGTATATTACCTATTCACACATATCCCCGCCGACACACGTAAAAACCGGCAACACTGTAATGCCGCTTTTTATTTGGTCTCTCTGTCGGTAAACTGGTTTTCTAAACTCTGTCGCATGCGTTAAAATACAGACCACGGAGATAAAGTGTCTTTATCTCAAGTTAAAAAGGAATGAAATAGATTCTAGACGTAATTTCGTAAATCACTGTATATTGTTATGATCCTGTTATCAGATATCGATCAGTGTCAAAATAAAAAATTGAATAATCTAACAAAATTTAAGTCCGGTGTTTTTTAAATAAATGCTTATACTAAAACTGGTACGCACATCTAAAAATGGAAACCGAAGCACAATCGGAAGTCCAAACATATCTAAAGTCTGTCCAACCAGGGGATACCTGGCAGTGACAGTTACTGTCTGTCATTTTAATTTACAAATAAGTCGTATTTTTATATCATGCTTAGATGTCGTCTGTCGAAATCTCTGGTGACTCATTGGACAAACTTTACTTAAAATTAGTAAAAACGGAACGCATTCAATTACTAATTTCGGAACGTACTTCAGATTTTCTAAATATGAACTGATCACATATACGTGCTAAAAATCTATATTAAAAAAATAAAGATGACGTAACCTTGAACGCTCGTAGTACAGACTATAATAATAGTCTTTAATGATACTCAAACTTGGTTGTGTTGAAGTTACGTAACTTACAGAAACTTAATGCAGTAGACTCTCAATTATCTGAGATAATGTGGGCTTTACCCTAGCGATTGAAAAATAGAGAGTCAGATAATCGAGAATCTACTGTACTTTAAAATTTAGGTTTGGCTTGTTGCTGCGTGTGATGGCTCGGAGAAAATAATTTATCAACTGACAATTTCCAGTACATTATTTGTTTCTTTTTATATTTTGTACAAAAATAATTGTTCTAATATATTTTAATCAAGACTTATAGTTAGTCTGCTTAACAGAAATAAATAAGAAGAAAAAATATATTTTTGGAATATAAAGTATTTTTTGAATAAATGTATTGTAAATTCGTCAGTATTTCTATAAACAATGAAGTACTATATGAAACAATTCAATCAGTAATTTAATCTGGCAATTTTGGATTCATCACAGGTACAAGAAAATCTTCCATATTTGGAATTACCATGACTTTCTGTAAAATAAAAATATATATATATTTCTTCTGACAGGTTTAAAGTAAAAAATAAATGTTTACTTGAAATTCTTGAAAAAGTTTCTTTTCTATCCAACTGGTTACCATAGCATAGGTGACATTTCTGTCGCCCACTATAGGCTTTGCCGTTAAAATAATCTCTGGAACAGGTCTAAAGCCTACCCATACTCTATCGCTGGGCGGTGTTGGGATATTCAATACTAAAGTCCCAGATACTGCTTTAATTTCCACCGTAAGGCGCAGTTCTGTGTTAGATACCCCTAAAATTTAGTTTGAATTTCAATAAAGTATATTCCAACAAAATATTCAGCCCTATACCTTCCATCGCTTTTTTTATATACCGGTTCTCAGTAGCGGCTTGAAAGAACTTGGACTCGGTAAGTTTGTCGACCATTTTGATAAACTTTTTACTTCCGTGAGCTGGAGGGGGATTTCCTGATTCTTTATCCAGTGGTATTTCCTGCGGTCCATCTTCATCTGAACTGCTTTCTGCCGAGTCGTCTACGTCCGAATGGTATATAGCAGACCTTATTATTTCTAAAGTTTTATCTAAAACAATGTAATAAGAAAGCAATAAAGTTAAAATCGCAGTTATTCTTGTGAAAATATCGCTAAAATAAACATATAAAAATATAAATATGCCGTATTTATTTCTCTTAAACCTACATTAACTCGCAAACTTGCCGCCTACTAAAAGAAATTCACATTTATAGTTAAAAAAATTCGGAAGTCCTAGTACGTGACTACCAGAGTTGAACAAATCGGTTATTTATAAATAATAGTTGGAACAGCAGCTTAATATAACAGGTTTCTGTTTTATTATCAAACAGTCAAAATGTCGAAAAGATGTGTTTATTTTAATAAACGTTTTTTTTAGTGTGACAGTACACTCTCACGATATAATGTAATGTTCTGTTTATTTATGAACAATACAGTCCTCTAACAATAACAATAACAGAAAAAAGTAAAAAGAGAAATCACTATGCTTTCGTAAGATTAATATATTAATTATATATGTTCACTCTCCCCCACCCTCTTTAACGTTTTTTCAGAAAACATATAAGTGGCCAAAAAGGAATTGTAATAGGAGGAGAAATAGTCAATAATATCAGGTATGCCGACGATACCGTAATTTTAGCAGAAAACCTCGTAAATCTACAAAAATTAGTAAGCAGTCAATGAAGTTTGTAAGAACTGGGGGCCGTCCATTACCATAAATAAAACTAAATATTAGTGATGGGCAAAACTGTTATTTTTAGATAACAGTTGAAACTGTTATAGTTATTTATAAAAAACAGCTTAAAATAACAGCTTAAAAATAACAGGTTTCTTTATTTTACTGCTAAATATCTGAAAGATTATGAGGCGGTCACCGCCAGGCGTATTAACGCAGTTGTAAGTTGCAACAATGACGTGCTCGGTGGTAGTATTTCAAGGGTGTCAAAACATTTCTAAATATCGATTGTTATCTAAAATACCTCTCTAAAAACGGTGGTTGTTTACAAATAAGCGCTGTTTACAAATTGCGATATAAAAAAGCCAAAATTCCGCCACTCGTCTATACCTATACATTCCGATCTACCTACGCCCTGCCCCTCGATCCGCGTAGATCTTGAATTGCGTAGCAGTGTACAGGGTGCATCTCACTCGACAGGCGAGAAGCTCTTAGTTATGATTTTACCATTTGCGGTCAAAAAATAGCAATATAAGAAAATGTGTAGTATATTCTTCATAAGTAAACCAACTACACACTAGAGTTCGAATTAATTTTACACTTAAACTAGCGTGTACCCGCGACTTCGTTCGCGTCGAATTAATAATTTTAATGGTGATGATAAAGCAAAACAAGAATTTCCATTAACATACAAACTGGATAAAATTTGCTCACATTTGCCAAAAATAAGCTTTAAACGTCAAGCAGTTTAAGCAGAATCGTGGTTAATCAATTACTCAACGTTTTGGAACACCCTGTATGATTTTTTAAAAAATTTCAAAATATGTAAAAAAACAAAATAAACTATGCGTGTCCAGGCGTTTTCCCGAAAGACTAATCGTTTTTAAATAACAAATATTGTAATATTTGAGGGGCGTTTTCACCCTGTTGGAATTTGAGATTCGAGAAACCCCTCCTTATCGAACCTCAAACCCACAGTCAATCCGTTTGCCAAAAATCAGCTTTAAACGTCAAGCAGTTTAAGCAGAATAGTGATTACTCAATGGTCATATTTTATGAAACACCCTATATATTTTTAAAAAATCTTAAAATATGTAAAACAACATAATAAAATTTACGTGTTTTAAGAGTTTTTCCGAAAAACTCACCGGTTTTTAAATAACAAAATATTCTAATATTTGAGGGTAGTTTCACCCCCTTAGAATTCTAGTTTCGAAAAATCCCTTCTTATCGAACCTCTACACGCTAAAGTCAATCCGTTTTCCAAAAATCAGCTTTTTACGTCAAGGGCTTTAAGCAGGATCGTGTTTAATCAATGACCAGCTTTTTCATAACACCCTGTATACATTTTTAAAAAATCTTAAAATATTATTCTGAAAATTTTTCAGAATAAATAAATACCTAAATGTTGAAACTTAATAAGTAAGTACTGAAACATACAGCGCCATAATATCTCGACCTCCGCCCGTTATGCTCGTAACAGGTTGAAAAACAATGTATCTAAAACAACTGATGCGTTATTCTCCAACCTGTTTCGAACCTCCATCGACAATCGACCGATGCAGCAGCGATACTTTCCCACTCCTGTTATCTCAACCGCCAGGCGTTATGCCCGCAACTGTTTCAAAGAACCTGCCACAAAACACATACACAAGGAGAAGTGCGAGCGCCTTGCTAAATATTGGAAAGCGAAATTGACGTTTAAATTTGACACTGTTGACAAGTCTACTGCTACTAGCGCCCCCAATATCGCTTGTAGGAACTACGGACTAGATTGTAACGCATGGCGGGAAGTTTAAAAAATAAAAAATTTTAATTCTTCATTTATTTTTAATTATGACATACATAAAAACACAAAAAATACACCATTTTTTAAAAATATGTTTAATATCATTATCAAATATACAACAGAAATTAATTTCAACAAAATAAATTAATAAAATTAAAAGAATAATGTTACAAGTAGATCAAGAGACAAAATTAATTATAACAAAACTGAAAAAAATGGCGTCATAGATGGCTTAGAAATGAAGCCATCTATGAATTATATAGGATTATTGTATATATATATATTGTTATATTATTAATGTCATCGATCATCATTTTTAAGCCAGCTGGACGATTATTTCAAACATACAAGCTGAGTTCGTTCATAGTGCTCTTAGAAATCTAGATAAACAAAGAATAATAAATTAAAAAAGTATTCCAGGGAAAAGAGAGGAAGAACCTGTATCGTCTCTGATATCTGTCAGGGTATTGTTGAAAGTGTCATCTTTTTGCTCGAAGTTTTCAGGTCGATTAAAAAGATGACATTTACAACAATAATACTTTGCCGTAACTTTCACAAATATCAGAGAGAGAGTACAGGTATTGCCTCTCCTTTCCTCTGGGATGCTTTATATCTGTTGTTCTTTGTTTATCTATATTTCTCAGAGCATAATGCCGAACACGACTACAGTATATAATAATTTCAATATCCTAAGTGGAAAGAAAAAAGATCACCCTTCTGTTTTGTACTATGGTCCCTTTCTTCCGATGGCTCATCTCGTTGATGTTTAGGAAGGTATCCATAAAATATATATTTTATTATCGGTCCTGGGATGAAAAAATATAAAATTCAATTTGATTTGATGATCCTTTTCTGTCACCTAAATCAGGAGAATGACAATGAGCCTGTTAAGATGAAAAAAAACTTATTTATCAACACTTACCTACACGTTAGTCCAAGGAGTTTTATCAAAAACCTATATTTGCCTAAATAATTTATGTATTCAATTTAAAAGCAAACTGCAGCTTGTAAACAAAAGAAATAAAATGGCGACAAGTCAACGTCAACGACCCGACAAGGAGAAAAGTGGTGTTCGAATAACAAATTATGGGTTACAAAAAATTGTTTTTGTCTCCTTTCAACGCACACTTTAGAAAGAAAAAGAGATGAACAGTTATACTGAAAGAATGTCAAGGTTTTATCTGTCACTCTTGTCAATAATTTATCGGTAAGGAAGATTCCTAGAAAATCGCTTGTAGTCAAGTTTTCAACCATTTCCAGTTCTCCCATAAGAAGTGTCATCCACCTGGAACCTGCTTCTTTTATATCCTATTATTTTTAAGCGGTATCGACCGAAGCAGCTACGTTCGCCGTAGCGCATTCCCCACTCCGTTGTCCGTTGTCTCGCCGCCTGTATCGATGGCTGATGAAATAACAGGTTTTAAAACCATACTAGTTGTTTTTTGGAATTGCTTCGAGCAGCATAGAATTTCGTGGCGGTGCAGAGCGCTGACTTCGTTTTTCGTTTCACGAGCGGCCGATCTCTACGTGTCGTTATTTTATATCTGTTATTTTTTAGAAGTAGTAACGGTTGCGTTATGTTATTTATAAATAATTGTTAAAAAATAACAGATAGTTAAATAACAACCCATCACTACTAAATATATGGTTGTGAGTAAAATAGATGCTGGCAAGACCTCATTATTGTTGAATGAAGAAACGTTGGAAAGAGTGGCGTGGAGTTTAAATACCTAGGCTGTTGGATTAACCAACATATCGACCTTCATACGAAATCAGATGTCGCATAGAACCGGTAGAACAAGCAAGAAATGCATTTCAGAAGTTTAAGTCGCTGCTCTCAAATAGTTCACCAGAAATGAAGAAGTTCTTCGAAGAATAGAGCATGACAGACTACTTCTGAATTTTATCAAGCGCCGAAAACTTGAATAGCTTGGCCATATAACCAGAGGACCTCCAGTTTCTCCGACTGATCCTTAATGGAAAAATCGAAGGGAAGAAGTGGATTCGACGCAAGAGGCTATCGTGGTTGAGGAACTTGCGGCAATGGACAGGCTTAAACTCGGATAAATTGCTCCAAAGACCGAGAGTGATACACAAATATTGTTAACATGGGAGTCGTCAACGTTCATTATTGACCCTTGAACAATTTATTAATGAATTCCAAAGGAACAAAAAATAGTAGGTCAAATGTCTCGTTTGTACAGATGTACACAAACCAAGAGAAACGTATATAATTATATTAATAAACTATCTTTATTTTATTATGGATTTAAATATTTGCATAATTTGTAAATGAACTCCAAAGGTGCAAAAGATAGTAGTTTCAATGTCCCATATTAATATGTGCACAAAATCCTAGAAAATCTTACTATTTCCAGGTGAATTCTTCAACTTCATTATATTCAATTTTGTTTGTATATAATGTAATTTCTCTTAATATATTATTTAATTATATACACCAGCTGGTCTAGGGAGAAAACACATAGCACAAGACTGGAATAGCGCCAACATAATTCTAATTTATAAGAAAGGCAGCAAAGAAGACATATCAGAAACTATAGACCAATAAGCCTACTACCAAGATACTAAAACCTACGACAAGAGATTTACGTTACCTTCTCAATACCTTTCACAATAACAGAGATAAGGGGTGTGTACCGAATTGCAAAATTTTCAAAAAGACCCTTTAGTTCAGAAACGAAGAGGGATATGAAAATTTTGTTTACAACATATTCCGTTTGACAAAAAGTGGGACAGATCTGTGCAAACCGCACCCTTCTATCTTCACTAACAATGGGACACCCTTGATGGACACCCATATGATTTCAACCAAAATGAGACACCCTGTACAAAAACCGAGAGAAACTTACTATTTCCAAGTGACATCGTTAGACTATTGTTTTGTAATGTATATTATTTCTACTACTATACCATTTTTATTCTTTAAGGACTTTCGTGTTTTAATTCTTTTTAAATATTTTCATAATTTGTAAATGGATAACTCCAAAGGTGCAAAAAATAGTAGTTCAAATGTCCTATATTCATATGTAGACAAAAACCGATAAAAACTTACCATTTCCAGGTGGATTCTTTAATTTCATTAGATTCAGTTTTGTTTGTAATGTCAGTACCACCAATCCCTCATAATTAACATCTAAATCTACCCACAATCCTCTCTCGTCCAAGACTGGTTTCTCGTTGTTTAATATAAAAACCGGCGTTTTACCCAAATTTAATTCAGTAATGGTAATCTCTTCAATAAAATATGGAAGTTTAATTGTTTGAAGCTTTTTCTGTATTCGGTTTTGAACTTTTTTCATAAAATCTGGATTTCTCATACAATCAAATAATATTCTTCCTGTAAAGATATAAAAAATATTGTACAACTCACGACAATTCCTTTATTTGAATATAGAGGGTGTCCCAGAAATAAGTGCAAGTATTTTAAGGAGTGGTAGATCTCAATAAAAAAAACATATTTTCTCTTTATCGTTTTCCAAATAAGTCCAAAATAACGGAGTTATTTTACTTTGGAAATTTCCAAAAAAAAAAATGATTTTTTGCTAAAATTTTGAGAACCACTGGATCTTTTCTGAATTTTCTTTCTTGTAAATTTAAACTAACACCTATGTTGCCATATTATCAAGAAATTATAGTCTAAGAGACCTTATTATCATCGTTACATGGCTAATTTTTTGTGTAAAGTATCCTTTTGTGTAGCCATTAAGAAATAGTCATGTCTGCCAGCGCGATCCCGGTGCTTAAAGCGGGGGCGGTCAATCGAAAGGGTGAAATTTTGACACTAAAAATATTATAAGATACATGAGTTATAATTGCGAAAATAGCTTTTATTTATTATTAAGAAACGTGGAAAATTGTTGGCAGACATTTTTCTAGTCGCCAAAATGCCGACAGACAACGCGAAAGAGGCATGTTTTATTCAGGGAACGCTGGCCGCCTCATCCATTTAAGTATAGATAAATCATATAATATACGATTATATTATAAATATATTTTTTTATTATTTCAATAACGATTTTTATTGTCTGCCCTTTTGCATACGGCTTTTTAAATTAATTAACAATAAACAACACATTCCACCAACCGACATGCATGTATGCGATGATTTTCTTTTGTCAAAATTATATGCCTCTTTCGCGTTGTCTGCCGGCATTTCAGCCACGAGAAAAATGTCTGTCAACAATTTTACACGTTTCCTAATAATAAATAAAAGCTATTTGGCAATTATAACTCGTGTACCTTATAATATTTTTAGTGTCAAAATTTCACCCTTTCGATTGGCCACCCCCGCTTTAAGCCCCGGGATCGCGCTGGCAGACATGACTATTTCACAATGGCCACACAAAAGGATACTTCACACAAAAAATTAGCCACGTAATGATGATAAGGTTTTTTATGTAGCCAGCTATCGGTCTATTATGTTTTTAACTAAGAACTAAAAAAAATTTCCAAAATTTTTTTAAAAAAATTTCGAATTTTCAAAAAAAATTTTTTCGCGTTAAAAACCTCATAGGATTGTTTCTGGGGTTGAATTATACTACCAGTTAAAATATTTGCACTTATTTCTGGGACACCCTGTATAATAGAAATAGGCATTAAATAATAATTTTTTGAAAAATATAAATATAAAAATGGAATACACTCTAATACCTATGAAAGTATTTAACCATAACTGAGATTCAGTTTTTGGATCTTCTTTATCTGCAGAATTTTGTTTCTCTATAGCAGACTTTTCATCCCTTGTTTTTTTCACATTAAGCTAAAAGAAAATCAAAAAGAATGTTATATACGCAAGGAATTTATAAAGAACTGGATATGTGTGAAATTACTTTGTTAAAAAATGTCATGTATTTGATGTATTCAAGTTGAGTCTTGGCATCTTCAAGTAAATTTATGTTGCCTTTAAGATTGTCTGTTTCATCTACACTTATTTCATCGTGATGATGCGTAGCTGCTGCCAAACGTCTAAACCAGTCTTCTTTTTCTCTGTCAGTTCTTCCAAAAATATAAAGCTTTATTTCTACAGGACTACCCTAAAATGTAAGTCCGCTTAGAAACAATTACATCAAATTTTAAATTCAGAATTTAATAAACCAACGCTTACATTTCGTGAACTCGCGGACCAATCGTCTTGTATGGAATGCATATCATCATCTTCATTTTTGTCATCTTGTTTTTGGAGCTGAAAAACTTCCTCTGGATTTGACTCCTAAAATGATTAGTTCAAAAATGTTATATCATTTGCGCATTTTTGTTTTGTTTACCGGTGGTTCTGAAGAAGGCGTGCTTGCTCTGGAATCGGAATCTAAATCTAAATCCATATCTTGATCTTCAGAAAGCTTGCTAAATCGCTGAGCCTTAAAAAACAGATGAAAGTTCCTATTGATAAATATAGTAATAAAGAGTATTTGTCTTTTTTGTTGTAATATAAACTCCAGTTGGCTTGGAAATGGCGATCGATGATATTCTTCCTGTAATTTTACATATAAATGACAGGGATCTTCATTTCATAGCCATTGCAGACGCCGGTTTTTGTTTCGATCATATTGGTGGCGCCTCTCATACGCTGCGGAGGCTCCTGGGAGAACGACAGTTTGTATTGAAGTGAACTTTTGTGAGTATATGTAGGTTAATTCAGAGCACTTTTTAAAAATATAGAGAGTTCTACAGGGTGTCCCCAAAAACAGTTACATATCAAAGTTGTGTTTTTTGTAATGGAACATCCTATATATTAATTGATTTCCGGATTCTGTTAGAAAAATAAAGGTGAGTTTTATAAGAAAAGTATATGACTAAAATGTAAGGTTTTTGACATATTTAACATTTTCTAGAAATAAAGAACAATTTTTAAATTACAATAAAAGCTATCTAAATTGGAATTTACCCGGTATGGCCTAATATGTAGTTAAATTAACTATTGTACTTTAAATCAAATTAAAACTTGATCCTAAAAGTTATACAGGGTGAGACAAAGTTAATATTGAACATTGGTCGCACTTAAGAGATATGATACTCTTTTATTTTAAATGGAACACCCAGTATATTATTCCGGCATTCAATGGAGAATTCATGTCTCTTCAAAATACTATTAAGGTTGCCTACACCTCAAACAAAGATTTTCCTAGATATTTTAATTTACATGATTTGATCTGAGTAGATCTTTATTATTTGATAAAATATAGGTGGCTATGATATGTCTGACGTTACTTCAACATAGCTGTCTAATTAGTCCAACTTTAACAACTAGTTATCATTTTGTGTCAGTTAAAACAAAAAAAATTCTCAGAAATTTGCCGAAAATGCAAACTTATCCTACATCAGAGAGAATTGATATGATTCTATATGCACGCTGCATTCACCAATTAATAGAAAAATGGTCCTGATTTTATCTAGTCTGTTTTTTTATGGGGATGTGTTAAAGACAATGTTTACAAAACTCGACCAACTATTGTCGACAACATGAGAGATATTATTGTAGCTGCTTTCCGAGGTAGAACTCCACATAATGCCTTTTAAAATAAAAAGATCCTTTTGAAAAGGCAATCATTTAATGCAGTTAACATCAGGAAAGAAAGCATTTTGATCATTTGATTTCATCTAGCTAATTTTTGTCACATAATTATAGGTTTATATCTAGTTTTAATTCTGTAATAATTAAAATATGTTTTAAACGTGTATCTTTATATTACCGTTGAGTATTTTACTCTACAATCTTTAATTTTTGTTAAATTAACAAAAGGTATATCACACAGCCACCCTAGATTTTCTCAAATAATAAAGATCTACTGATGCAAAATCATAAAAACTAAAATATCTAGGAATCTCTTTGTCTGAGGGGTAGGCAACCTTAATAATATTTTAAAGATATATAAATTCTGCATTGAATACCGGAAAAATATACAGGGTGTTCCATTTAAAATAAATGAGTAACTTGCTTTTAAATGTGACTGATCTCTTATAACTTTTCGAATCAAATTTCAATTTGGTTTAACATACAATGGTTACTGTAATTTAATATCAGGCTATACAAAGTCAACTAAAATTTAGATAGCTGTTATCGAAATTTAAAATTTACTCTTCATTTTCATAAAATGTGAAATATGTCAAAATCCTTAGATTTTAGGTATATACTTCTTTAATAAAACTCATCTTTATTTTTTTCCCAGAATGCAAAAATCAATTAATATATAGGGTGTTCCATTACAAAAAACACAACTTTGATGAGTATTTTTTTGGGGACACCCTGTATAATTCTATATATTTTTATAAAATGCTTTCAGTTAACGTACATATGCTGCCAAAATTTCATTTCAATATAAACTACCGTTCTCCTTGGAGCTTCCGCGGCGTATGAGAGGCGCTACCCTGTACAGAGCTGCAAGCCCAAATTTTAATGACTAAGTCATTTTTCGAAAGCTGACTTAAGACTTAAAATTTAAGTCTTTTTCAAAATGACTTCTGATTTAAATTTATTCCGAAATAGAAAAAGATTTAAGTCTTTTTAGAAAAAACTTAAGTCACTAAAAAAATTTAAGTCTTTTTATAAAAGACTTAAGTCAGATTTTTATATATTTGTATGATACATTTTTAACAGCAGTATACCTTTTTAAACAAAGCCAAGTAACAGAATAAAAAAACAATGCTCAATACCACTAGCAAATAAAACGTTAGTTTTTCGGAACCAGATTTAAATATTATTGTCATGTAACACGTGCGTAGTGAGTCTGTTGTCTTTCAAGTGAATCTCCGACTCCGTTATGTAGCCCGAAAGATGAACGAAAGAAATTTATCTCGAACTCTCGAAGAGTACTTTAAAATCCTCCAGCCCTTAGCTTATGCAATCGATATACCGGGCGCGTCTCAAAAGTGGCTCACCCCAATAACTTTTTTATTTTTTTTCCAATGCTATAAAAATCGGAGAAGAGCTACTGGAATATGTAGCGGAATTTAATTACCTCGGCAGTTTGATTTCCGAAAAGGCCAATATAGACTCTGAAATTCAGCACAGGATTAGCAGCGCCTCAAGAGCATTCTGGAAATTAAAAGACAGGATTTTCTACAATCATGACTTGAGTACAAAAACGAAACTAGCAGTGTACCGAGCAATTATAATCCCGACCATGTTATATGGGAGCGAAACATGGGTGCCGTACCGCCGACACATGAACGCTTTAAACAAGTTGCAACAGAGACACCTTAGACAACTCTTAAGAATCCGGTGGTTCCATCATGTCTCAAATGTATCGGTCCTTGAAAAAGCTAACTGCGAGAGTATTGAAGACATGGTTACAAAATCCCGCTTAAGATGGGCTGGTCACGTATGCAGAATGCAAGAAAACCGCATACCAAAATCTCTGCTTTACGGTGAGCTTGCAGACGGTAAGAGGAGGCCAGGTGGACAGCTCAAAAGGTACAAGGACATTTTCCACGAAAACTTAAAGGGGATTAACATGCAGAATCATTGGGAAGAAGCAGTTCACAATAGAACTCAATGAAGAAGAATTGTAAACTCAGTTAACAGCGACAACCAAAAAGTAAAGAGGCAACAAAGCAATGAGATTTTCGAATGTCCGGAGTGCGGTAGGCAAATAACATCACGTATCGGGCTTTTCAGTCACAGAAAAGCTCATGAAAGAAAACGCCTTGCGTGACCATCTTTTGATGCGTGTCGAATACTCGTCAGCGAGTAATGGCAGTACGTATGTATGTATCTTTTATTTTTTCAGATAAAAACACGAAATGTGGTATGTTAGTATGACATAAATTAGGATCGATGACGTATTCAATGGGCTCTTTCACAAAAAATTAAATACCCAATTCAAGGATAAAATCTGAAATAGAAGACTATTTTCAGTATATTTATCCAAAAAAAATAGTTCCATGACATTGAATAATTTTTTTATAGGCCCTCAAAATTGCTTTAATTTGAAATAATTTTAAAGCGCCAATTGATGACGTATGAAAAATACGCCCAATCACACTGCAGAACCGTGCTCGTGCGCCAGCCAACAACTGGCAACATTGCGATTTGATTTGACTAGCACCACCTCAACTCAAGGCCAATCAACATGATATGGGCAAGGCAAATATGGCGACGAAGGCAGCGCATTATTAAATTGTTTACCTTTAACCTGAAAAGCCGGTAGTGGTTTCTCGTTCCGATTGCATACCAGAAATAATTAATTATCTCTAGTTTGTTGTGCTTCTGCAACACGTTTGTTTAGTTCTTAGTGTTCAGTGCAAGGTGTGATCAGAAAATTGTGATAAAATAACAGTGTAATAAAAATCCAAACCAGATATTCCACATAGAGAACTTTTGTGCTTGTCGTACCCTATTATTAATTATTTTAAGGTAAGAACTAAAAAGCCTTCACCTCCAGTCTGCATAGTACTTTATAATGGTTACTTACAATAATCAAAAGATAGGTAGTAACATTTTATTGTAGCATACCTTTTACATGCTCTGTTCCAAATTGTCACGATAATTATAGAGGGGGTCCCAAGGTTTCTGCTTTTATATTCCCCAAAAATGACGAGCCTCGTAAAAAATGGTTGACGGCTATTAAAAGAGATAATTTCACTCCTACTAGTAGTTCTAGGGTAAGATCGGTGCATTAAATATGCCTCAAAAAGGCCAAAGGCCAAAGCCTCTGTTACCCTAGTGAGGATGTAGTTATGACCATAAAATAATTAACTAGAAAGAAGTGTCAACTCTGTGTTAAATCGTGGAAACACGATACGCCACCGAAAGCCTTCGTTGTCGTCTGGAGAACTAATTTTCCAATTGACAGGTTGACATGATGGCTTCGTATTTATTTCCGTTTCCGGTTATCCAATGGCGGGCCCTCTTTCAGTTTAAATGTATTTTGTACTCTTTCTTATCATAAGTAAAACAAAACAAAATTTTATTCAAACATATTTATTTGAAATATGAGACAACGTGACTAAATATATATATAAAAAATAAAGAATTGAATGATTTCAACAGCAATTACTTAATTATATGCAATTTTAACGTAAATTAGTAAGCATGACTTACAGTAATTTGTAAATAAATACACGTATTCACAGCCATCAGGGACAGAAAACGGGGGCAGGAACATGAAAAAAAGAGACCTGGTTTATAAATCAAAAAGAAGCAAAAAGAGACTTTTAGTCGGATAACAATCGGATTGTATCAGTCAGATTTATTGCATTATTGACAATAAATCGCACATACTGGAGATAACTAATGTTGGCTATAGTTAAAAATGATCTTACCTTGCTGTAAATTGTTTCCATTTTCAAAAAAATCGCCGATCATAAACATAACAAAATTTTCTTGCATCTAAAAAATACAGAAATAGTGTTTATTTACTACCTATTTTTAATATACATGGGACATACCTAGTACTGCAGAAACGTCTTTTTCTCCAGGATTTTTCATGTAATATATGTTTTATATGCTTTATTACCTTTATATTTATAAATTTCTGCCGAAATATCAAATTGAATTTACAAAACAAAACTAAACGGAGAGAATTAAAATGGCGTCGAAATTTGTTCTAGAACAAATCTGAAGTTGTCTCTGAAATCTGTCAATTCTAAACTGTGAAGTTAGACAATAGTTAGAGAGAAACATTGCTGTCCTTGTCTAGGCGGCCATACTTGTCGTCAGGAGATGACAGGAATGACACTAATGACTGTTTCCAATTTTCCTATATCACTGTCACCCCCCTGGTTATGACTACAGCCTACACTTACCTTGCTACAAGTAAAATATTGGGAGAATAGTCAAGCTTTTTACATCAAAAAGATCACAGAAAGATATTGACAACATTCACATTTGAAAATATAAATGGCCTGGATGTAAGTCTTTTTTTAGATCACAATTACCCCTCACATACGTCAGAATTTATTATTAAATCCATCTTGTTCAGAATATCCAATATTTTATTGAAGAACTATGCAAAAAAAAGAAATGACGTTATAAAAAGGTATTTAGTTTTTTTTCTATATAAAATCTTGAAACACATATTATATTTTTTAGTTATCCTCACCTATTATAGTTTAAATTTATTCCCATTTGTGTAATGCTGCAAAACATAAGAAAAGTATTCCATATTTTTTGACCCAAGCCAGTGTAGTTTATAATACCAAGAGCATTTACCAAGGCTTTTACTAAGACAAGTAACTTCCTATACTGTCCATAATAGTATATATTTATCAAACGTGGAGTAAATTCTAAACTATGGTAGGTAAGTGTTTGCAATTGAATATTTAGTTTATATTGCTATTTTCTGTCATATATTTCTGGTTATTTCTTTTTCCGATGATTTTGAACACCCCCTATATATGCTACCTCAAGTTTGAATATTTACAAACTAGTACACTACCTACCTATTTTCTGAGAAAGCAGACCTTTTTATAAAAAGTAACTAACTGATGTTTTCATAAAAGTAATAATACAAAAAATTCCATACTTATGTGGAGAGCTTTAGACTCCCTGTATATTAAAAAATTAGTGAAATATTACGTAATCTAACCCGACATTTGTGTGAAAAATGTCTATTTGGAAATAAAAGAGGTTTTAAAATACGCGCCAAATAAAGCACTTCTAACTCCGCCATATTGGAAAAGATTGAATGGCCTTGTGTGGAGGTGGTGGTGGGTCAGCATGGTGGCCCGGCCGTGTTGCCGCTTTTCAACATGCCAGGTGTGACGTATTAAAAATAAGGTGCGGATTTTTATTCTGGGCTTTTTGTTTTTATTTATTTTCTTAAGAACGACTTCAAATTTTTCGAAAGTGAGATAGCAGAAGATTCTAGAATTAATTGCATTATTCAATTATGCTAATTCCAAAATATAGTGAAAGAGCCCATTGTTTTTGGTCACTTCCTGTTTCACCGGAAATTACTTAAAACACAAGTCTTTGAAAAAGTGACTTGTGGCAGCTCTGATTGTATAACAGAACAAAGTTTTTTCGTGTAATATACAACAAAAGCTAACTTAAGTTCAATAGTTTGGTGTAAGTAGCTAGCGAGAGAAAAAAATCTGTTAAAAATAAAACTACCTACCATATATGGATATTCCTTTTTCTTAAAAATAAATTTCTTTTTCAATTTAGGCGACTTTCTTTTTTCAGTCTGCTTCTCTTTCTCTTCCTTCTCGTCATCCATTTCCATTTTAAGAATGGAAGGGTCAAAATTGGCTTGGTCGTTGCTCAGCGTTATGCATATTGGATATTTTTTGCTCCAAAGTCTGCAAATATTCATTTATATTTTCTCTAATATTACTTAGTTAAGAATTTATTAAACACTATTACCTTATTTTAGTCAAACCATCCGGAAGCAATGATAGCTTAGCATCAAGCAGGTTATATATCCTATGATTAGCGAATTGTGCTTTAATTTCATGTTCGTTCCACATAGCTCTTTTAGGCACCTTACTTTTAGAATGACTAATTCTTAGTAAATTCCCTTGTAAGCGTAAAAATACTGATTGTGTTTGTGAAATATGATAGGTTGAAGGGTCGTACGTTTCAGGGTATTCATTTACCCACCCCTGTAATACAAAGTATAACTTTGAATAAGAAAATGACAAGGAAAATTCTGATATAAAAGAGACTGTATAAAATCCAGTTATCAAATACTTTTAGACTTAAATTAGACTGCAATAAAATTTCCTTAACGCTTATAATAACATACAGGGTGGCCCATCGAAAACATTCCGCAAGGCATAACGGCCAGGGTAATTTTTTTTTCAAAAATTAAAAAACACGTCAATTTTGTTTGTGAGGGGGACAACTTTTGCCCCAAAAATGATTGCAAAATCTTCAACCCTCTAAGCGGGGGTGTCATCCCCCAACTTTTTTCAAATGGGAAGGGGGGTCAAGTGGTACCGCAATGAAAAGGGCTTTTTATTCTCTATACTTTCCCGCTTCGTTTTTGAAAATCGGTCGAGTCGTTGAGAAAATATGAAGGATTGAAATTTGAAAAGTTTATTTAAACATTTATCAGAGTAAATGATAAGGATAAATTCCTTCGACCAATTTGCTGTTTTTTCTTATTATTTCTAGATGTTTAGAGTCAACGCCACGAATGTTTGGGAGTGATTCATCGCTTGATGAAGTTAGAATCGACACGCGCGCTATCATTTTTACATTAAAAACGTAAATTTTTACCGCAGACGTAGGTTTTTAAAGCCCGGTCTAATCATCTGCCTGCTCTCCTCTTACTTATTCTAAAATGTTAGCGTGATTGACAAAGACGATACTATATCGCGTTTCTTTGATTGATTCGTTTTTGTGCGTCAGTCCATTGGTGTGCCTGCAGTGCGACCAATGGGGCATTCCATTTTATATTTATAACCAAATATATGTTTTGACAAGACTTTGACAGTTAAAACAACAAATTACAACAGATTATATATTGATTATTATATGACTTGAAACACAACGGCACTGGAATTAAGTTTTATGTGACCTTGAACAGATTAGTTCACATGGTAGCGACCGATGAATCGCTCCCAAACATTCGTGGCGTTTACTATACGCATTTTTTCACTTGCCACTGGGTTGAACGATCAGGTGCGACAGTTGCTAGATAGTTGTTCTGTGACTTGTGCGTTGAAGTTCTTCTCAATATCGTTAAACTTTTTAACAATTATGGTGTACTCACTTGCAGAAAAAGTGGAAATAATCGAACTTTATTTTCAAAATAATGAATGCAGCAATCGGGTTCCGCAGATATTCAATGAATGCCATCCTGAAAAATACCTTTATGGCAAAATTGTTCGCGAAACTGGTTCCGTTATGAATAAAAAGAGGCAGAGGGAAAACCCTGTAGTAAATGAAGCTATGGAGGTATTCGTATTGGGCCAAGTTGCCATGGATAGTACGCTGAGTACAAGAAAATCAGCCAATGCAAAATTAGCCGGCGTGAATCGTACCAGTGTCCAAAGGATATTAAAAAAACACAAGTTCCACCCGCACAAAATTCAGTTGGTACGAGAACTCAACGAAGACGATTTTGATCGTCGCTTGCAATTTTGTGAAACTGTGAGTGAACGAGTGGCGAATGATAATAATTTCCTATTTAATGTGTGTTTTCGGATGAGTGTACTTTCTTTTTGAACGGTGTAGTTAATCGGCATAACTGTCGGTACTGGGCTGAGGGGTTTTTCACGAGGTGCACACACAAAACCCTCAGAAATTGAACGTGTGGGCTGGTATTTTTGGAAATTCTATTTTAGGTCAGTTTAACGATATTGAGAAGAACTTCAACGCACAAGTCACAGAACAACTATCTAGCAACTGTCGCACCTGATCGTTCAACCTTGTGGTAAGTGAAAAAATGCGTAAACATCTAGAAATAATAAGAAAAAACAGCAAATTGGTCGAAGGAATTTATCCTTATCATTTACTCTGATAAATGTTTAAATAAACTTTTCAAATTTCAATCCTTCATATTTACTCAATGACTCGACCGATTTTCAAAAACGAAGCGGGAAAGTATAGAGAATAAAAAGCCCTTTTCATTGCGGTACCACTTGACCCCCCCTTCCCATTTGAAAAAAGTTGGGGATGACACCCCCGCTTAGAGGGTTGAAGATTTTGCAATCATTTTTGGGGCAAAAGTTGTCCCCCTCACAAACAAAATTGACGTGTTTTTGGATTTTTTGAAAAAAAAAAATATCCTGGCCATTATGCCTTGCGGAACGTTTTCGATGGGCCACCCTGTATATACAGATACTTTATACAGGGTGTTTCAAAAAACATGTGCCATCTCTCGTGGGGAGATTCCTCACGTAAAAACAAGATTTATTTTTCATATCAACATAGGTCCGATTCTGCTTTATTTCGTAATTACAGGGTGTTAATATCTTAATATTTTTTCGATTTATTATAATTTTCTTCCAAGTACTGTTAGCGTTTCGAATGAAATTTTGAGGGTAATAGAGTTTTCAGATGGAGCGGACCGTCCGCGACTTCGAGCAAGTACTATGAGTTTATATGAACAATCTTACATGGGTCGCGTATGTTCCGTCCGATGGCTATCTTGAAAAAACACGACGGACGGTCCGCTCCATCTGAAAGCGCTGTAAAACTTATTATAACAGCGCTTTCAGATGGAGCGGAGCGTCCGCGTGGACCGTCCGCGCTGTTTTTGTGCTGCTTGTTATTTCAATATAACCGTTAGACGAAATCATCCGGACGGGAGCATACGCGACCCATGTGAAATTGTTCATTTAAACTCATGGAACGCTCCATCTGAAAGCGCTGTTAATGCGACATATTTTAAAGCTAAAAAAGTGTCGACATATTCACCAGGGACGTGCATAAGGGTTATCACTGCAATATTTTTCTAAAAAAACATGTACCCCACTGATTTTTTTCTCCTGTTAGCGAATTAGTGTAAGCAGTTTAATGTCGATTAAAAGTTGTCTCTTGATTTTTCGTCGATTTCGGCTTCCTTGATGAGATAAAAACGCAATTTTATTAATTTGCCTGGATCCAAGTGTAATAGCAACCTTATTATTATTAGTTTTTTTTTTGTAATTATCTTAAATACCATTATTTTTTTTTATTTAAAATTGCTGTAAGTTGGACTAATAGTAATAATAACTAATCGTGATAATATTTAATAATACATTAGGTAAAATATATAATTTATTAATTTTATTTTAATTTTATTAATTGTGATTACGTCCTGGCCGTCCGTTGGTCGTTGCGACCAGAAGACTGCACGGAAATATTATTTTCTGCCGCTTGTTGCCCGTTTTCTTCCAAATTAATATTTTTTCAGATGAAATCCCTCAAATTCAAGGCATAATATTTGATTTTCTATAAGATATAGTGTTTTAGTGTAGTTTTTGCACACGTGCAGAAAATTCAAAGAAATAGTATACAGACTGGATCAAAGGGAAACTTAAATCTAGTCCATTTTTTATCAAGGGTCGATTCTATTAAAAATTCAAAACATTTTTATATGACATACCTACTCTATTTATGGTTGGTATGATACCTGTTATTATACCGTTGAGTTTCGATGCTAAAAAATAAAAAAAATAATATTTAAAGTTTTTCTACAACCACTTGTTTTTTTTTATTAAATTGGTTTTTTTAGTTGTATTGTAGTCATGTACAAGGAGGAGAACTGTATTTTAAATATTATATTTAATTTAACGTTTTTCAAACAGGGTTCATTAGATTATATTTCTACTAGGTACATTATTTTGAAAAAAAAATTACGAAAGTAACTTAAACATTCATAAAAATAGAAGTAATTACTGTTGTAGATTCTTCGTTATATTGTAAACATTGAAATAACTGGAAGCTAAACTTTCTACCTGCTTATATTTGGAGCCAGTGTCTGACGATCTTTTTTTTACGATAGCCCTAATATGTTTACTTCTAAAGTCGATAAGGGCGCCATATCAGTAGAAAAAAGAAACAGAATATCTCCCTTTTTGTCGGTCGTGCGTACACAATGCTTTTTGTTTGTTGTGAATAGCAACTTCGCTTTTTAATTAACTCGGATATTTTAACATTTCTGAAACAATATTTTCTAATTGGTAAAACGTAAAAAATCGTTAGATTTGACAACTCTGTTGAAACTGGTCGTTCATCTGGCCGCAGCTAAAAACGCAATACATCCGGCCAGCCGACGGCCAGGCCGTTGCGACCTGGTCGTCAGTGAGTTCGAGCCCATAATTTTGATATCAAAAGAACAAAAGTCAGTGGCCCACATGTTTTTTTTTAAAAAAATAATCCAATGATAACCTATATGCAGTAATATGCACGTCCCTAATGAATTTATCGACACTTTTTTAGCAGTAAAATATGTAGCATTTAAAGTAACTTTTACCCTCAAAATTTCATTTGAATCACTAAAAGTACTTGGAAAAAAATTATAATAAATCGAAATATTATTAAGACTTTAACACCCTGCAGCTACGAAACAAAGCAGAATCGGACCTATGTTGATATGAAAAATAAATCTTATTTTTACGTGAGGAATCTCCCCACGAGAGATAGCACATGTTTCTTGAAATACCCTGTATAGATGAAATTTTGTTACACATATATTTTAAGACAAAATTTCTTTCAATATAATATTTTCAATTTTTTTAAGACTGATTTTTAGACTGAAACTTAAAACATTATTTATCATTTCTGCTATATTACTACTTCATAATAATTAGTTTTGGCGTCAATAAAAAGGAACAATTAAAATAATTATTTCCATTTTGTTTACCATAAAAATTAACAACCTAGTATAAAACAAAACTATATAATTTGGTTAATTTATGCTTTTTTACACTGTGATTAAAATCCACCTTATTTGCTGAGTTAATTTTGTATGTCTTGTTTTCTATTCATTAATTAATAGGTTTACTAATTACAAGGGAGTTTCAAGAAATAAACTCGCCACGAAAGGTATAAGTATTATTCACCTATTAAAGGTAATGTAAATAATTATATATATATATATATATATATATATATATATATATATATATATATATATATATATATATATATAAGAAAGAATTTATTGGGC